ACGCTTCCAGAAGTAACAAATGAGGGTGACACCGGCTTCGTTATTGTATCATAGAGTAATCGTATATAGCCGAGTGTCTAGATTTCATCATTTGATTTTGGGTTTGTTTTCAGGTTGTCTCACAGATGAACAAAGCAAAGACACAACCGGACAGACAGATAGTCAAGCTAAGACAATTGTAAATAAACTGAGTAAAGAGGAATTTGAACTTAAGGTCAAGGTATGTATAAAATGAAGTCCGTTTTCCTGGAATATGCAATATCTGTGAATGTGGGATTTCCTAGAATGTATGATTTCCCGAAATGTACAATATCCCGGAATGTACAAAATCCCGGAATGTACGATTTTATGGAATGTACAATATCGCTGAATTTACGATTTCCCGGAAGGTACAATATCCCGGAATAAACGATTTCCCTGAATGTACAATATTGCTGAATGTACGATTTCCCGGAAGGTACAATATCCCGGAATAAACGATTTCCCTGAATGTACAATATTGCTGAATGTACGATTTCCCGGAAGGTACAATATCCCGGAATAAACGATTTCCCTGAATGTACAATATTGCTGAATGTACGATTTCCCGGAAGGTACAATATCCCGGAATAAACGATTTCCCTGAATGTACAATATTGCTGAATGTGGGATTTTCTGGAACGTATGATTTTCTGGATTGTACAACATTTTGGAACGTGCGATTTTCTTAAATGTACATTATCCCGAAATGTGCGATTTTCTGGAATGTACAATATTCCAGAATGTACGTTTTCCCGGAATGTACAATATCGCTGAATATGTGTGATTTGCTGGCATTTACAATATCGCTGAATGAGGGATTTCCTGGAATGTACAATATCGCGGAGAATATTATTTACCGGGATGTATGATTTCCCGGAATGTGTAATTTCCCGGAATGCATGATTTCATGGACATTTGTTTGCTTAAGGAAAATAGTTATTATTGAAACATAAAAGTGTGCAAATGCAGACATTTCCTGTGTGCATGAAAAAAAAAAAGTACCATATAAAATGATACGAAACCTTCATATTTATGTTTATTTGATTATTATTACTTATATTTTTTGTTGCTGTTGCTATTTGTGTTTCAGAGTCCCGTTAAGTGTACTGTGACTTTCATTCGTATTCTCCTCCTATTTGTCGTACTCATCATCACAGTCATCAGTGTCATCGTCGCCATCATCATGAAATTCTTCTCCTCCTCAAAAGCTGTTACCTGACAGGTGACCCAACTGCTAAGACACACAAATGTCTCCCTTCCAGCAAAACAGCAAATGAGTAAAAACACCTTTATCCATACTTTATGCTATCAGTGCTCAACATGGACAATGAATAGGGCACTAGAAAAAAAAATAATTACATGTGAAATGCCCTGTCTCCGCAGGATCACTAACAACACTAGACGAGACCGGGTTACTAACACCAGCATTAGAGAGAAAGTTGGGATAAGACCATGTCTAGATTAAATTGACATACAAAGAAAGTAAAGACGGCCGGCGTAATGCTGACCACATTACCCACCAAGTGCCGATTGGTCTGTAAAATATGGGTGCTCTTCCCATATGCCCGATGCGCCTAGGGCGTGTAAAGGGATCTTTACTTTTTTACTTTACTTACAAAGAATGAAATGGTTCAGCCATCTAGTGGGAATGCAGCCAGACCAAACTACATATGAAACTTTCTACAGCAGAAAATCTTGGAGGAAGGCGAGGGAGACCAAGAAAGATATCGATGAATGGTGTAGTAGAAACCTGAAACACAGATGAACAATCCGTCATCCAAGCCATCCTAGAAGCGCAAGACAAATACAGAAAACTACAACTCTGGTATCAGTGAGACGACAAAGAAGAAGATGGCAAGCATGGTTGACCTCTGTCTCTGCTTCCCTTATGTCTAAGTGAAGGGATCTCTGTGGTGCACTGTATGGTGATAGTCTTAACACATGTCCAAACCATTTCATCTGTTTGTGGCTTGATGTTGTTTAATACTGATTCCATCTCAGCCTCTTTCCTAATGTAATCATTTCTGATTATGTCTCTTTTAATTACATTTAAAATTCGCCATTGACATTTCATTCCTGTTGCTTAGATTTTGTCTTTTGTCTCTTGTCCTTAAACATCCTCTATATACTGAAAAAGCCTACATGCTAAACTCGAACATCTTCTTTTTCTTTGAGTTCACCGGCTGTACACTCGGGCGGAAAATTCTGGTTATTCGTCCACTTCTGGACTTTAGTCCTGCTCTAGAACTTGAGTGTTGCGTGTACATCTGTTTTACAGATCTGATTTATATGTATGCAACCTGTTAGATTCTTGCTTCTCAGACAGATGTATTCCGACTTCAGAGGAAACTCGAACATAAAAGGACAGAAGTAAAACTGCAGAAATTGCGAACTATATGCAATACAACTGCCTGTATGTAGCCCTTATCGTGTTAGCAAAACGGGCCATTTCCACAACTGACTACAAGGATAAACATTAAAAACTGGCAATTTTAAAAGGATAACACTCCATATCTTTTGTTTGACTGTAAATTACATTTGTTCATTTTCCGGGAACAGTCTACATAATTTATGTGTCGATGATGAAGGACGCTTCAGGGTAAATGCTAGGCGCTCGTCTTCTGGCCCGAAGGTCCTGGGTTCGAATCTCACATCGAAATGAATATCTTTTAGTATTGGTCTTACCTCCCAGCATAAAATATGTATCAGGCAATGTCCTGGGAAGTAAAGACGGTCGGCGTGATGTTAAGGACGTCAACCACTGAGCGCTGATTTGTTTATACAAATATTAGTCTACAGTCTGTTCAAAAATGCGTGCCTACTTTTAAAAAATCTTTAACTGAGTAACCGCTCAATGTAAGTTGTTGAACTTTGGCATCCAACATGTTAGTGATCGTGTTATTATAGAAAAATAATTATAATGTGAACAAAAATCTAGTTTTTATTTTGCCTAATTTTTGGTATCCGAAAAAAATCATCGATTAACAGTAATCAATTAGTATGTTGACAGTTAATGGAGTGATGAACATAGTATTTCATTGTGTGTGGGATAGGCTATTGAAATAATCACCAGGCATCGCTGCAAATGTGAAACAATTTCCAGAACAATCTTCAAGTTTGTGGTTTAAAGTAAACGATTTGTGTCAGTTATTGAATATTCTATTTTTTTTTTTTTTTTTTTTTTTTTAGGGGCACATAAATTATTAGTCTGACTCAGATTTAAAAAATAATAACTGGCTATCTTGAAAAATAATAAAAAAAACTAGCACCTGCGCAATGTAAATTATAAAATGATTAGAGGTTCTTTATGAATATCTTACCCTATATGACGTCACAGGTCAGTTCAACATTTTAGAGGGTGGTAACACTGGGTTTTCTGATACTTTTAACGACCCCAAAACATCTAGAACTGGACTTAACCCCAACCCACCTAAGTCCCACGAAAGAGTGCAGCCAAGGTCCCACGACTGCGTGCAGCCTATCTACCACCCCCTGAAATATTAGACTGTCCCGTGACCTGTTGATTTTCCCTGTTTAAGGTAGGAAATTAATAGAGCATCTCATTAGGAGATGGAAAATATAAGAACACGTGCAACACATGTATGTTGAATTATACAGGAGTTTTCGAGATTCTTGTTAGAGTGTGGGCGGGGGGGGGGGTGGAACAACTTTTAGAACGAACTAAATATAGCGTCAGATGACCGATACACCGCTGGCGTGAAAGGGGCCCTTTGTTTTACGAGAATGGAAGTATTTTTATTTCAGGGAAATTCACATTTGACCCACTCCCCCTCGTCCACCTTCAAACATAGAGCGGTTTGTTGCAGGCCCCCCCCCCCCCCTCTTCCCCTCTTTTTTCCTCATCACCACTGATATTACGGTTGGGCATGGTTCAAAGGATTTGCACACCCATAAAAAGTGCTCCGTTCTTCTTCTAACTCAAATCTGAGTCCGAAGAAGCTCAGCACAGTGCACGGGCGAGGATCCTGAAATACTTTGGGCAGATTTTTTACTCTAGATTTTGCCCGGGGAATGGCTTTAGGCTACTCTTCTCGATTTCCAACTGCCAAGGAATTTTTTTTTTTTTTTTTACGTGAGCAACAATGCACACGGGCGTCCGATCTCACTACCCAGAGACCAGGGGGAATTACTAGACGTCAAAGTCCACGTGAAAAAATCCCAAGTTTTTTGCCAGGGACACAGTTGAGTATCATTTATTGTGTACATTAATCCCATGTAGTCACTTCATAGTTAGAGCATATTTGTGTATATGTACTGTATTGTTCTTTACGTACTGATGAAGGCTAATCGCCACAAAGTCCTTTGTTTGTTTATTGTGGTCGATTTTGTAAAGCTAACATAAACTGTTTGTTTTTTCTTACCAACTTTTTCTCTTCCCTATAATTTCCTAACCCTTTAAAAACAGCCCTTACCAAGTATTGAGCCCGAAACCTTTAGCACCCGAGGCGGACACAGTGTTTTTAGAGCACACAAAACCCTTACATAAAGAAGAACAGAACCCAAGTGGTCTGGCCTTTACCCCAGCATGTAATAGGAATATAACCACCCCCCCCCCTTTTTTTTTTCTACTACTACTACTACTACTACTACTACTACTACTACTACTACTACTACTACTACTACTACTACTACTATTACTACTACTACTACTACTATTACTACTGCTACTACTACTACTATTACTACTACTACTACCACCACCACCACCACCACCACCACTACTACTACTACTACTACTACTACTACTACTACTACTACTACTACTACTACTACTACTACTACTACTACTACTACTACTACTACTACTACTACTACTACTGCTACTACTACTTCTACTACTACCACTCTTATTGTTAGTAGCAGAAATAATTGTTCTCGAATGTTCACTTACAGATTTTCAGTATACTCACAATCATACCCACTTGTGTTCATTTTATCCAGAAGGCCATTCCCTTCAGAAAAAGACTAAAGCGCTGCAGTGCCTCAACACGCCCAACCAGTTCAAGCACTTCATGCACAGAGTACACGAGATCCTTAAAGAGCTTGTAGAAGAATTCCAAGACGACCTCAGTGACTCGAAAGAGAAAGAAACTGAAGACAAACTTGACTCGCGTGAAACCAATAAAGATAATGACGACAATGATAATAATTCTACCGAAGACAGCAGAGATACTGATACCACAACAGCAGCCCCGGATTCCAACCAGGACAGCAGAGAGAATAATACTAAGTCTCAAGAGGTCTTAAACACCAATACAGGTGGAACTCTCAGGGTTCGGCGAGATGCTGATGATGGATTTAATCTGGACGAAATCCTGGACAGGCTAGAGGTAGATATATAGCAAATGTTTTCTGAAACTACCTTACAAACTAACGTGCAGCACATGTTATCTACTCCTGGTTCTCTTATATCACGCCTGTCTGTCTGTCTGTCTGTCTGTCTGTCTGTCTGTCTGTCTGTCTGTCTGTCTGTCTGTCTGTCTGTCTGTCTGTCTGTCTGTCTGTCTGTCTGTCTGTCTGTCTGTCTGTCTGTCTGTCTGTCTTTCTGTGTGTGTGTCTGTCTGTCTGTCTGTCTGTCTGTCTGTCTGTCTGTCTGTCTGTCTGTCTGTCTGTCTGTCTGTCTGTCTGTCTGTCTGTCTGTCTGTCTGTCTGTCTGTCTGTCTGTCTGTCTGTCTGTCTGTCTGTCTGTCTGTCTGTCTGTCTGTCTGTTTGTCTGTCTGTCTGTCTGTCTGTCTGCACTTGTGTCCTGCAGGCCGCTATCTGGTGATTTTACGCGATTTGGCCCATCATCTCAAAATGTATTGTCACTAATTGTCTCACATCTCCATGTTTTGTCACCCATGGTTTCATCTCTCCATATATTTTCACTAATTGCCATTTGTCTCCATAGAAGGTTACCAGTTGTCCCAACTCTTCATGTATTGTTACCCCTTGCCCCATTTGCCCATTTATTGTCACCAATTGTCCCATCTCTCCAAATTGTGTCACTAATTGTCCCATCTCTCTACATTTTGTCACTAATCGTCTCTTTTCTCTTTATTTTGCACCAGTTGTCTTATCTCTCCATATTCTGTCTTCAATTGTCCCATCTCTCCATATTTTGTCACCATTTGTAATATCTCTCCATACTTTGTCACCAGTTGTCCTATCTCTTCATATTTTATCACCAGTTGTTCTGTCTGTCCATATTTTATCACTAATTGTCCTATCTCCCCATATTTTATCACCATTTGTCCTATCTCTCCATATTTTATCACCAAATGTCCTATTTCTCTATATTTTATCACCAATTATCCTATTTCTCCATATTTTATCACCAGTTGTCCTATCTCTCCATACTTTTTACACTTATTGTCCGATCTCTACAAATTTTATCACCAGTCGTCCTATCTCTCCATATTTTAACACCAATTGTCCTATCTCTCCATATTTTTTACACTTATTGTCCGATCTCTCAATATTTTATCACCAATCGTCCTATCTCTCCATATTTAATCACCATTCGTCCTATCTCGCTATATGTTATCACCAATTGTCTTTTCTTTCTATATTTTATCACCAATTGATTGTCCAATTTCTCCATATTTTATCAGCAATTGTCCCATCTCTCCAAATTGTATCACCAATTGTCCTATTTCTCCATATTGTATCAATAATAACTGCCTGTCCGAAGAAGGTCTGGGGTTCAAATCCGCATCAATACGGATTTATTTTAAAAGTGGTCTTGGTTTCTATGACAACCTAGCATAAAGTGAGAAAACGTGATTTTTACCACATCATCTATAGAGTGTCGGTTGGTCTCTTTACAAAAACATATTTCTAGCCCTGTGGTCTCCAACCTGGGTGCCCCCTTCCAACCACAGGCGACCTGAAGAAGTTTCAAGAGATACGTCAAAGAATTGTTAAACTGAGTACATCTGTAATTGTAATATTCTGGATTATTATCTTTAACAGTCATGAAAACAAAACATCTTGCCTTCTTGATGTGGAGATTGATCTCCGTAGTATCTCTTCCAACATCAGATCAACAATATTAGATATAATGAAGACAAAACAGTGTCAGTCATCACACTGATATTTTGAAACTATCTAACCAATTGTTGGTAATTGTTTCTTTTGTTTCTGTTGTTATTAAACGCGTTGTTTTGTGTGGATGTTTATCGCCGTGTTCTTGTTAACAATGCTTCAGCTGTTTCTGTTTGTCCTCTTTTTAATCACATCATTGTGGGCGAAGGGAACGTGGGGCGGGGGAAATAAAAAGAAAGGGGGGGGGGGGGGCTTGTCATATGCTCAAGTATGGTGCCACCTAAAAAGACTTATGGACCACAGATCTAGCCCTATATGCTCTATGTGCCTAACGAAGTCGAAAAGGTTCTTTACTTAACTTTTTTGTTTCCCAACAGGATGACGACACTGAGTGTCTGGCGGCGTTTGTCAGCAAAGGAGATGAAAGATTTCTTTGTCGCCATTTTGCTCACGGATCCTCTGGTGTGTTTGGTAGAATTTTAGCTGCAGGGGTGGATTGCGACGATTACCTCGTCGAAGGCGACGGCGATGATGACGACGACGTAAGTAACATCGATAAATCAAAGCCCAAATACACACATGTGCGTATTCACATATGAATGCGGGCGCACGCACATACATAAATATATATATATCTGGTAAAGGTAAATAAAAAAATGGTTAAAAGGTTCAAATCGAGGGCATCGACTTCCTTGCACTAGGTTTTAACCCATATAGCTGCATCATTCTCCGCAGAACGGCTAGCCGCTTGCTAAGAACGTCGCACAAAACCCGAACAGCCTGTCTCCAACGACGTAACAAACTTCGTTCATGAACAGAACGAAGCAACCTTGGAACCCAGGACCTTCACAGTGCGCAGAGTCAAACGGCTTGACCACTTCGCTAGCCAGTTCGATGCGGGCTAAAATAGGTACCAGGTAATGTGCATGGGAAGTAAAAGCGGCCAGCGTGATGTTGACCATGTCATCCACTGAATACCGATTGGTCTATACAAGTGTGAGACTAGCATTATGTTTCCGATTAGGAAGAAGAGATATAACCAGGTTAGGATTCAACACAGTTTGACATGATGGCATGGGCGATCGTCTGTATCAGAGCCTGTTGAAGGTACACGAGACAGAAGGTTGTGGACAAACATGACTACCAACGCCACACGGCATGGACTTTAAGGATTCAACACATCTGGACTCGCTATGTTTTTCTTCTGCGTTCGCCAATAAAGAGCAGTTTGCACGTTGTGTTGGGATCTCAGCGAAGCCGCACCTTTCTTTCCAACACATCGGATTTCAAAAAACCGTTAACTAAATTGTTGCTTTTTGCAACTTTTTGTCACATCCCATCCTACCGCCTCCTTCACCCCAAGTGGCGCCAACAACCCTTACAGTTAGTTTAAGGATTTTAACTGTAGATATTTATATTCAGTCTGCACTTGGTAGGTTAATTTCTAGTTTTTTTCGGTGAATCGTAAACATAAATTGTGTGCCTGGTTGCAAATGTATAAACGAAGAGTCATATTATAACAGTCTTTGAAGCATGTATTTTATATAATATAATACTGAAAGTTTTTTTAAAATTTCGTCGTCTTCTTCTTCTTTTTCTTCTTCTTCTTCTTCTTCTTCTTCTTCTTCTTCTTCTTCTTCTTCTTCTTCTTCTTCTTCTTCTTCTTCTTCTTCTTCTTCTTCTTCTTCTTCTTCTTCTTCTTCTTCTTCTTCTTTTACTACTACTTCGTCTTCTTCTTCTTCTTCTTGTACTACTACTTCGTCGTCTTCTTCTTCTTCTTCTTCTTTTTCTTCTTTTTATTCTTCTTCTTTTTCTTCTTCTTCTTCTTCTTCTTCTTCTTCTTCTTCTTCTTTTTCTTCTTCTTCTTCTTCTTCTTCTTCTTCTTCTTCTTCTTCTTCTTCTTCTTCTTCTTCTTCTTCTTCTTCTTCTTCCTTTTGTTTTCTTTCTTTCTTCATTTCATCTTCTTCTATTCTTCTTTTCCACTACTTCTCTTTTATTGCTACTACTGCTACTGTTGCTGCTATTACTATTGCTTCTGCTAATACTGCTGCTGCTTCTGCTGCTGGTGCTGCTACTGCTGCTACCACCAATACTACTACTGATGCTGCTGCTATTACTACTACCACTACTACTACCGCTGGTGATGCAGTCACTACTACTACTGATGCTGCTGCTGCTACTACTACTACTACTACTACTACTACTACTACCACTACTACTACTAACACTACCACTACTACTACTACCACTACCACTACTACTACTACCACTACTACTACTACTACTACTACAGATAGATACTACTATTACAATTTATTCGTCTGCTCCTGCTAATTCTCCTTTTCTGATATAACCTTAGTCCTTCTTTGTCTTTTGTTGCTGCGTCTAACGTTAGCCACTGCTGCATGAAAAAGTACTTATATGGTTTCTAGCCATGATGTTGTCCTTGTTTGTCTTTTGTTGCTGCGTCTAACGTTAGCCGCTGCTGCATGAAAAAATACTTATATGATTTCTAGCCATGATGTTGTCGTTCTACAGCACTTGGATGAATCTCATCAAATGGCTATACTCAAACTGTTTAAGGAAAAAGAGAGCAAGGAGATTGGTGAAGAAGATATTCAGAAATTGCTGCGACTTGCGCCAGACGTGATTGACGATGATGTCTTGGAAGATATGTCTGAAGAACTATTCAAACAAAAGTAAGATGTAACACTTTGACTTGTTAAAGGGTGATCGTTGTATATTTTCCCCAGAATTGTGTGGAGTGTATTTAATGAAATGTATACTTTTTAAAATCAATTATTAACGCACTGCACTTAAATTTTTAGATTAAGTTATTTTTTCAAGCACTATGTAACCGTTAGTTTAGAAAATAACTGCTATATATCGTGTTTTAGTTACTGATCTTACCTATAACGGTGTTAACTATTGAAGAAAGAGTATTTTTGGTTGAGTATGTGTTCCTTAAAAAGGTGGCAAGTATTCGGATGTGGTTGTTCGACAATTTATGACGTCATTTCATGATACTCAAGTGCCTCACCCAAATACTCTTAGCAATTTAACCAATGGGATCACTTTTGAATAGAGCTGTAATGTGGAAAACAATACCCAAAATAAGACACACACTACAGCAGTATGTACTGCATTATTTGTGTGTGTTTGTGCGTGATTGTGAGTGTGTGTGTGTGAGTGTGGGTGTGTGTGTTGCAATAATTCCACAATAGCAACTGCAATATTTTCAAAAATACAGTCATTAAAATACACCCTTTATGTATCTGTTGTAGTGTCTTGTGTGGAAATGTATTATTCTGAGTAAACGTATCAATATTTTCGGCTAGCCAGAGTAACTAACGACAACAATGGGTGGGAAGGGAGCGTTAAATGTAGAATATTATGCGCAACTGACAACTTTTGGTGTTTCTTGACATAATTGTTATATTGAATTGAATGGTTGGCGGTCGATGTGTATTGTAGGCGACGGCTAATTTGAGACTATGTTTGCCTAAGCAGCTTGAACACTACTCACACAGTCTGCTTTGTTTTCTCTAAAGAAAAAGTTGCACTAATTTTAACTCCTAAGAAAGTGGTATGGGGAAAATCATTAAGAACACAAACAAAAACCGCTATTTGAGTAAAAACTTGAACGCCTGCATTATCTCACGATCCATATTGTTATGATTATGAAATAACCACGTTTGTTGATAATTTTCTGTGACTGTTTTCGTCTTAAGTCGGATAATAAATACTATTCTAAAATAAACATGTCCTATGGCTGCAAGAGTCAGTTCGTAAAATTCTGGATACTTTTAATCATTAATGCTTTCTTCTTCTTCTTTTTCTTTTTTCTTCTTCTTCTTCTTCTTCTTCTTCTTCTTCTTCTTCTTCTTCTTCTTCTTCTTCTTCTTCTTCTTCTTCTTCTTCTTCTTCTTCTTCTTCTTCTTCTTCTTCTTCTTCTTCTTCTTCTTCTTCTTCTTCTTCTTCTTCTTCTTCTTCTTCTTCTTCTTCTTCTTCTTCTTCTTCTTCTTCTTCTTCTTCTTCTTCTTCTTCTTCTTCTTCTTCTTCTTCTTCTTCTTCTTCTTCTTCTTCTTCTTCTTCTTCTTCTTCTTCTTCTTCTTCTTCTTCTTCTTCTTCTTCTTCTTCTTCTTCTTCTTCTTCTTCTTCTTCTTCTTCTTCTTCTTCTTCTTCTTCTTCTTCTTCTTCTTCTTCTTCTTTCTTCTTCTTCTTCTTCTTCTTCTTCTTCTTCTTCTTCTTCTTCTTCTTCTCTTCTTCTCCTTCTTTCTTCTTCTTCTTCTTCTGTTTCTTCTTCTTTGCGTTCGCCAGCTGTAAACTTTGGCAGAAAGTTCTGGTTGTTCATCCCCTTCTGGACTAAAGTCCAGTTCCTGAACCTGAGTGTTTCGTGTGTATCCGTTTGACAGAAATGACTCATTTGTGTGCAGACTGCTGGTTCCTTGCCTCTCTGGCAGATGCACTCCAACTTTGAAGGAAGCTCCCCCCTCCCATAATTAGTCTACTCTTACGACATGCTTTTGGGTAGGCACTGAGTCTATTCTTGTTTTCCCTATAACAAGGCCCCTGAACCCACATAGGGATAATATTATGCTTTCCAAAACCGATGTGTTATGTTCCGTTTAAATATTCGCAAAGGATAATATCTTTTTAACTTGTTTATTTAAAAACAGTCCTGTCAATTTATATATATTTGTGCGCGTGTTTTTGTGTGTTTTTGCAAAACGGGGGGGGGGGGGGGGGGGGGGGGGGGGGGGGGGGGGGGGGGGGGGGGGGGGGGGGGGGGGGGGGGGTGGGGGGGGTGGTGGTGGTCTTGTTTAATCATAGTTTACATGTATAATCTACACTTAATTAACATATATATTATAAACTTAATCTATATATTTATAATCAATTGCTAAGTTATTGTAAGAATAAATAACTATTTCCCTTGACCTACAGTCTTCACAGGCTGGGCAGATTGGCTGCAGGACAAAATGCAAACCCCAGACTTCGCTATGCCCTGAGAGAAAGACTTGATGATCTAGACCTAAGCAACCTATCGCCGACAGAACTGAGAAATATTGGACCAGGGTTGTTGACGCTGAGTGTGACCCAGATCCAGAAACTGAACGCCAAGTTACTGCTGGATCTGGATGCTGATGACATCTTGGACACCGATGATTCTAAAGAGCAGAGCGCCAAAGAGGTAGAAGGTAGTGATGATGATATCAGCGATGACGAGGAAGATGATGTCAAACTAGTAATTGGTCTTCAATTGAAAGAGGTCATCAAAGCGTCTGGCTTGCAGAAGCATCAGATAGGAAGGTAGGGGTAATTTATTCTTTGATTACTGTGGGTAGTTATGTTTAAAATGTTAGATTAAATTACTAGTCACTGTGAAACTTCATAGTGCGAGGAATTCTCTTCATGCTTGTCCCAGTGCATGCGGGTGTTGGCAATAAAAGAGCTGGCAGAATGGTCTTTTCACACTTTGTTGCAAATGGCCGGCCTATGGATCGCACCGTCATTTTTAATTCCCTTAGACGGATACAAATAAGGTAACTGCGGTAAAGCTATAATAAGTTTTTAAAGAGGTAGGAAATTAGGGGGAAGAGAAAAAGGGTAGAACGGTCAGGGGATTTTGCGGGCAGCGTGTCCAAATCACTGCTAAGGGTCAAGACAGCCAGGCATAAGAGACACACCGAAGCTGTTGTGTGTGTTGAAGGAGGAATCTGAGCACACGTGGACGTGTTTGAAGTGCCGTAAAGATAAACAAACTCGTAATTAATAAATTACTAGCATCGTGATGGCTAATAGCCAACAATGGTTGGGGTGTATGTATGGACATTCATATAACAGAGAGACCAAATCTGAGTACACAAAAGAGTTGCGATGATGATGGTCAATTGTAATGTTGGTGGGGGTGATGACAATGGGGGTGATGATGGTGATAGTGGTGATGGCAATGATGATGATGGTGATGGTAGTGGTGATAATGATAGTGATGATGGTGGTTGTGGTGATGATGACGGCCTATTGTGATAATAATAGTGATAACGGCGGCGGTGGTGGTGGTGATCATTATGGTGATGATGATGGAAGTGGTAATGATGACGGTCAGTGATGATAATAATGAAGATGATGGTGGTGGTGATAATGACGATAATGAGAGAAGAACATTATGTAATGGAATTTTTTTTTTTAAAGAGAGAAGAAAATATTGAACAAAAATTCTACGTGTACAAATTGAAAAAGATAAAAACAATAATTCATGATAAACAGATAACAACAAAAAGTTACTGTAATATAATTATAGTTTGAACCGTTAAAACATGACGAATAATATGGGGAATTTTTAATTCAGTTCTATACTACGTATAGTTGAGGTTTAAGGTTTGAACAACGGATCAACATCATGGCACATGGCGTTCTTCTTCTTGCTCAAGTCTGAGTCCGAAGAAGCTCAGCACAGTGCACAAGCTCTGTAGCACCGGCGAGGATCCTGAAATACTTTAGGTAGTTTTTTAACTACAAATTGTGCCCATGCAGCGCCGTTAGGCTATTCTTTTCTATTTCCAACAGGCAATTCATTTTTTAAGTGCGCAGCAATGCACACGGGCGTCCCATCTCACCACCCAAAGACCAGGGGGAATTACTAGAAGAGATCCACGTGAAAGAAATCCCAGCCCTTACCGGGGATTGAACCTGGCACCTCTAGTACTCGAGGCGGACACCATTCCTTGAGACCACTCAGCTCTCATATGCTACGTATAGTTACACTCCTGAAATAAATAGCACGTGAATTTGCATATGTTGTTTCAGGGCAATGCGTTACCTACACCATGACCTTGACTTTGTCCACCACGTGGAACCTGATGACCTTCTGGATGCCCTGGATGACGTCAAGGACATCGAGTATGATTTTGATGATGTGAGTTGATGTAGAAATACTTCTTAATTCTTCTTCTGTCCAACAGCTAACGCCGCAAAGCGTCCTAGAGCGGAGTTAGATGTAATTTCTTGTCTTTTCCTTTTTGCGTAGCTTGTGTTAATTAATGTCACACTGAGCTTCTGTAGTCTCTCTTTTACTCCTGATGTTTTATTAAAATCCTAGCCCAAACAGGGAAAATCCACAGGTCACGGAACAGTCTAATATTTCAGGGGGTGGTAGATAGGCTGCACGCAGTCGTGGGACCTTGGCCGCACTCTCCCGTGGGACATAGGTCAGTTGGGGTTAGAGCCAATTCTAGATGTTTTGGGGTCGTTAAAAGCATCAGAAAGCCGGGACACCCAGTCTTACCACCCTCTAAAATGTTGGACTGTCCTGTGACGTCATCTGGGGTAGGATATTATTAAAGAACCCTCCCTCCGCCCATCTCTTTCTTGATCGTTTTCTTGCCTTGGTGCCGGCTGTTCTCATATATTACGTTCTAGATGCTGTCTGATTTTGAACCATTCAGACCAGATGACCAATTTATTTGATTCTTTAATGTTCTATGAAATCATTTACCAGTACTGTGCCTACCAGTGTTTTTAGTTCTTCCTTGGTGGTTCTGTCTCTAATGTTTTTATTTTAAATTTTAGGACTAATTAGAGTTAAATTAGAATTAAAAATTAGAAATCTGAATTAGAATTAAATCAAAATTACAGATACACTTTTTTTTTTAAATAGCATGGCGTCATTATGAATAAAAAATTGCATTTTTCCCTGAATCAGGCGCGGTCAGTTCTATATCGTCTGAGTCAGTCGCCACGTTTCCCGCCAATCTCCACTTTGAATGGTCGCAATCTGACACACATTGGCAAGCTGATGAGAGGTATGGATGTCGCTCTCCTTGCAGAAATCAATAAGAAGGCGCTTGAGGATGCGTTGGATGATATAAGTGACATCGACTTTGACGATTTTCAGGTAAACTGACGATATTAACCCATGTAATACAAGCAACTTGTTATGCGTTTCTTTGTTCCAAGTGACATTCTATGTGCTTCTGTTAACTCGTTGTGACCTATCCACTTGTTAAACTAATCCACAATGCCCAAGTTCTTTCTTCAACTATTCTCTACCATTGTACTATTACTTTAGTTCACACACTCAAATTATTACTTGGAATAACGTCGTCTTAAAATAAAATGGGTTAAAGGGACATGTATATAAAATAGTTAACGTCTGTGGGAAATATTGTTTCACCCATTTACAGTGCGCGGGGAAGTGGGCCAGTTTACTTTCCCATTGTATTTCTATAAACTAAGCCAAACTACCAGATAATAAATCTTCCTTTTCTTCCTCTTCCTCTTTTCTCATCCTCTACAGTTGTACACGTAAAAAAAACCTTTGGCAGTTGGAAATCGAAAAAAGTAGCCTAACGGCGCTGCCCCAACAAAATTTTGAGTTAAAAATCTACCCAAAGTATTTCAGGATCATCGCCGGTATTACCGGACCTGTGCACTGTGCTGAGCTTCTTCAGACTCAGACCTGAGTTAGAAAAAGAACGGAGCACTTATGGGTTACTATCCGTGTGTCATAATGTTGATCCATTGTTCAAACTTCAAATCTGCTAGATACCTTAATATATATTGTTTTCCTGCTGGCCTCCGTAACGTGCTCACAGTTTTATTTCTGCAGACCCCCTTTATGTGCTCATAAACGTTTTAATTTCTGGTTGGCCCTCGGTAATGTGTTCATAAACAAGTTTCATTGGTGCTTTACTAATATCCTACCCCAAACAGGGAAAATCCAAGGGTCAGGGGAAAGTCTAATGTTTCAGGGGGTGGTAGATAGGCTGCATGCAGTCGTAGGACCTAGGCTGCATGCATTCGTGGGACCTAGGCTCCACTCTCTCGTGGGACGTAGGTGGGTTGGAGTTAGGGCTAGTTCTAGATGTTTGGGGGGTCTTTATAAGCATCAGAAAGCCGTGAAACCCAGTCTTACCACCCTCTAAAATGTTTGACTGTCATGTGACGTCACCTGGGGGTAAGATATTAATAAAGAACCGTTTTATTTCTTTTGGTCAGTGTACTGCATTTACAAACAGTTTAATTGTCTTCTGACCTCTGTAATGTTTTTTTTTTTTTTTTAAACAGTTTAATTTTGACTGTCCACTGTAATGTGTTTATAAACTGTTTTATTTTTGTTGACCCCGTAATGTTTTCATAATCACTTAACTCCATAAGCTATTTAAAGACATGTCTGGTGCTGTAGATTACTTTATTGACAAGTGTGTATTTGTAACATCTTTGAATCATTCTGTTCTAACAGGCTCACCAGTTGTTGGAAAATATGGGGTATACAGACGATGACCAGGTAGGCATAATTTAGTCTTTACAGACTCTCTACGACTATGTCGGTGTCTTGTTTTGTGGACTATTTTGTAATGTCAGTGATTGTATTGTTGATTAATGCATGTTTTAATAAAGTGGTTTGTGTGTGTGTGTGTGTGTGTGTGTGTGTGTGTGTGTGTGTGTGTGTGTGTGGAAGTATTTAATAATACTAGGCACGATTTATACTGTTGTGTGTACTTCTGCTGTCATTTGTACTCCTGCTATAGGTATTATTATTATTATGCAGATGCTATATTTGAAAATTATAATATTGCACGTTATTAATGTATTATTTGTTGTACATTAGCTAACAGATTAGAACATTCTGTCACAATGTGGCCAAAGAATACTGATTGTCTATATATGATACATGTAAGTCATTCTTTCGTCACGTCATTAGAAGGGGAAACTCCGAATACGCCGTGACAACAATAAAGTTGGAGGCAGAGACAGAAGGGATTTTTTTTTTTCATGGTCAAGAGACTGCTCAGTTTGGAATCATGGTATGGAATAATATCCATGGCAACAGTGACTGAGAGTCCACGAGACAGAAGGATGTAGACATGGCTCTATTACCAACGCTGCAGGGCATAGACTAGAAGAAAATTTGAGAAGAATTTGAAATAGAAAAACATTAATATGTATCATCATCATCATCATCATATAGCAGGTTCTTTGCAGAACGTCGATGTCATCAGGTTCTGCCTGAAAGATATTTGTTCTCTCACCAGGTCCCCCGCCCCGTGCACTTTCATATCCAAAGAGTCACTTACATCCTGTTCCAGTCTTCGTGCTGTTCGGTCCCTGCCCCTCCTCTCTAGTACCATGATTTCTGCTACTAATTTTTTCCCCAATCCGCCGTGGCCTTAAATATGGCCACAATATTTCAGTTTCCGAGATGCTTACTAGTTAATTTTCCTTGATGTCGTCTAGAATATCCTTATTTCCTTTCTTCTTTGCCCATGGAATATTTCTCTAAAATATTTCAGCTCAAAAGCCAGTATTTTCTCCCTCAAGGACTGCGAAATAGTCAAAGAAATTGTATATGCAAATCTATATCTAAATAATGTTCATGTCGCTGTTGACATAAAAGGTATTCACACGTGATCTCCATTGCTGCTTGTCTCCTGATGTTCTGCCCACAGTATCGCGTGTCATGTTACATCCCTCCATGTTCCCTTCTACTGTGCTTCTCTAGATTTCCTTCGATCTCTTCTTCTTTTTCCACCTGCCGTCCATCGAAGAGCTGTCCTTGCTAAAGTTTCAAGAGACGTTATGCAAACATGACCAAACCATCTCTATATCTCTATCTTCTTCCTTTGATAACGTTGCAAATGATGAACTTTCTGTTTTCATCCTCAGTTCTTCATTTATGATCTTTGGCTAAAATATTCGCAGGATTCTCCTTAAACATTTATATTGAACAATCTCTTGTATGTGTATAATTCCTCTGTCATTGTTCAAAAGTCATAGTTGTATAATAGTATTTCTAAATGTTGCTCTTGTATAATCTGAGTTTTATCTACAAACTTACTCACTTTGACTTTCGTATATTGTTAAGCATAGCAAATGCTTGGTTTACTTTGTCTGTTCTATGTCTATATGTCATCATCTTCCCGTAAAAACTCGTATTGTTGTCAACAGTTTCTGTTGACTGTCTGATCAGCTACAGTCAAATGCGATGGACTTCATGATTACGAAAGGCCTAAAACCTGTCCAGTCAGTCAGGTTATGTAGCCAGGCTTTTTTTAGTCTACATCTTCCCTACTTCCTCCCTACTGAGCCCTGTAGTATTGTTTTTGAAAGGCCGTTAAATCTTACGTAATACATGTCCGTACCATTGCATTTTTCTTCTTTTCACTTTTGTTGAAAAGAGGTTCATCGTTGCCAATGTGCCGTCATTTGTAATATGCTCTATTGATATGCCAAGAATTGATCTCAAGGGTGGCATTTCCGATGCTTGTATCTTATCAAGTTCAGCTGTTAGGGGCACGTTTCACAGCCATACGTAAACATACTAACGAATAGTGCTCTGAACAGTCGTTGCTTGGTTTTTACATGAAATGTTTGTGTGTCTGCATATATAAATCCTTATATTTGTTCTAGAATTTTGAAAACTTTGATGTGCCTCAAGTGAAACGATTGGGCAGACTGTTCCGTGGAATGCCAGCCGAAGGAGTTCTCATGATGAAGCAAGATGTCATCGAAGAAGCTTTGGATGATCTAGATGACATTGATCTAAATGATGCACTGAAAAATGTTATCATGGATAAGGTACACAATTTTCGATGTTTATGATTCTGTGTTATTTTGCAAGACATGTGCACTTTTTATGTGTGCATGTTATGGTATGACAGTCTACGCCACTGCACACTGGGCATTCATTTGCGTTCTCAGTCCTCTGATGCATCAGCCACTCCAAGGACCTCTACTGGTTGTTCTCAAGAAAAGTTAGGAATAAAGTCTCATTTCTTCACCTCAAAGATGGTATCAGCATGCTTCACCGGTCTTCCCTCCAAAGTCACACAGTTAGTTAATGTGTCCTCCTCATCCGCTTCTTCTTCTTCCTCTTCTTCTTCTTCCTCTTCTTCTTCTTCTCCTCCTCCTCCTCCTTCTGCGTTCGTCCCTAATTGACCTAGATCTCCCAGGGCGAACCAGACTAAATGAAGAAAAAGGAAATGTACTAGGATGGATAGGTAGCCAATTTATTGCAAATCATATCACCCGTCTTGTGCAAATTGTTCTGTAATAATATTATTCTAAATCATATGCTCAGTGTTTCAAATTTGTGAAAGTGGTTCTTTGTTTCTTGCTGTAAAACAATTTTTCTTTTACAGTAGCAGCAGTAGTAGTATTAGTAATAGTGGTGGTTTTGATAGTGGTAGTGGTGTTGGTAGCAGTGGTGATTGTGGTAGTAGTAATTAAAACAACAATATCCCTGTTCAGTCCGTTCATGCTATAACTGGGAAACGTCGTTTTCTTCCCATTTTGTTAAACGATATTGGGTATTTACACTTACTAACTACTTTTGGTTATTTTATCTTGCAAAATCAGGTATATTAATTGTAACAGACTGTAGGAGTACATATTGTTAAGTTTAATATAAATTGTTTTATAAATGTATCTTCCAAATAATTGTTAAATAATTGTACTAATGATCTAGTGTAATTTATTTATGGGAATATTAAGTGATCTGGGATACCTTTAAATGTCGCACCGTAAATTAAGACCTCATATGCAAACCTGTGTGCTAGTGGTAAACTGATTTATCCTTCCCTATAGTTCTGTAGAGCCATACCCCCAATATTTGTTCCAAACGTACTGGTGTTACCTTTCCTTTAGAGTAAACAAAACAGGTCAAGTGAGGGATCATGATGCGAGGGCAACATGTCTTCTCTACACTACTGCCCAGGCGTTGTGCTATGGAGAGGAGGAACTTCAACCCTTGCCTTACTTGGTCTCGTTCTCGCCATCGCCATGGGCTCTTAGTCCCATGCCTCCTCGTAGCACAATATAACACTATTGACTAGAAAGACGGAACGGTGCCAACACCCCCCGTATGTTGTCATAAGTTTATTGCTGTGGGTTATATATTCATTAACAGGTGTCCTTGTAGGTTTATATTTCTTGCAATGCAATGTTTAAAAGTTTTGTTTGTCATCTAATACATGTATATATAAATGTTTTCATCAGGTTCGCCATAATGACAAAATTTCTGCCAAGTTTCTAGGCCTGAAAAATTTTGCTGAAGTAATCAGTTTAGATGATCTGGATGATTTCGATGATGATGATATCAGACTACACTTGAATGTTACTTCCCGCATCCACTGGAGATTACCTCAGGTAATAGAGTGACTGGCTTTAAATGCCAGACATGGAAATTCCTATAGAAATATAGACTGCAAAATAAAAACCTCTTTGATGAGATATATATGACCTTGTGCTATCAATACCAGATGTCAGACATGGACGTTCCTATAGAAATATAGACTGCAAAATAAAAACATCTTTGATGAGATATATATGACCTTGTGCTATCAATACCAGATGTCAGACATGGACATTCCTATAGAAATATAGACTGCAAAATAAAAACGTCTTTGATGAGATATATATGACCGTGTGCTATCAATATCAGATGTCAGACATGGACATTCCTAGAAAAACATAAATGTAAACTTTCACGTGAGATGAGATTAATTTGAAATGTAGCGGAAAAAACAAGAAGAGAGAGAGAGAGAGAGAGAGAGAGAGAGAGAGAGAGAGAGAGCGAGAGCGAGAGAGAGAGAGAAAGAAAGAAAGAGAGAGAGAGAGAGAGAGAGAGAGAGAGAGAGAGAGAGAGAGAGAGAGAGAGAGAGTCATCAACGAAGAACTAAGAATAACTGTAGGCACAGTACTGGTAAATAATTTCATTGAAAATTAAAGAGTCAAAAAGTTTGGTAAATAGGTCAGAATGGGAAAAAAATCAGCCAGCAGCTAAAGCGTTCTACATGAGAACACCAGGCTACAAGTCGAGAGGCCGACCAAGAAGGAAGTGGGTAGAGGTAGTCAAAGAGACACCACAGACACGCAATACAACATTAAAATTAGCCAGAGACAGGAAACTACATATAACTCCTCTCTATAATGCTTTACAGCACAAGCAGTAGGGCAATAACAAGTTACTAGGTAAAGGTCAGCTGGCTAAAGACCTTCATTTCGAATCGACACTGAGACGGAATTTAGTAAATGGCATAGGATACCAAGTCAACTCAGCTCAACATAGGTATCATACAATTTCCTTGGGGAAAGGGGAGGTTAAGGCGGCCGGAATATTATTACCCACATCACCTGGTCTATAAAAAAAAATTATGGTTCAAGCACACGGCTTTTTATTCATATTAACTTTTTTTTTTCTTCGACTGCACCTGGTACCCACTCAGTCCCGTCGGAACTCTGAAAATAAAACGTCAATATTCCCGTTTTATAGAAATCTAGGTGTTAGCTTGAAAATAGAACATACCTTCATCATCATCATGTAGCAGGTCCTTTGCAGCGTGCCCAATGTAAAGCCATCTTCTCTGTCTTATAACTGTTGATAAGAGTGGTTGCCCAGATTTCACTCCGTTTGAGTTCATCTCATTTTTTTTTTTTTTTTTCATAATTTTCCTCAGCCATTTGTTTTCGAATGCGTTTAACTTTCGCCCCATGCATTGAGTAGTTCTCCAACTTTCATTTGCATATGTTAAAACTGAAATAACATTAGAATTGAAAATACGTAACTTGCTTTTAAAACTGTACAATTTAGAGTTCCATATTTTGTTAACGCTATGAAAAGCTACTGATGCCTTGCCAGTTTGTGTCATAAATTCTTTCTTTGTATTTCTTTTACTATCAACATTACTTCCTAAATAAGTAAATTGATCTTTTACTTTAATTACTTTTGTGTCTAGTGTATTAAGGTTTTTCTTAATCGTTACAATTGTCGACATTTCACAGGCTGCATTATTAGCCCAGAGATACAAACTAACCAAGAGAGTTGGGCGGTTGAGACCTTCCGACCTGACACAGATGAGACAAGTGGCTCTTGGGCTCTTGCCAGATGACCTTGATGACATCATTAAAAAACCGGACGATGTCTTTGATATTGCTGAAGAGCTAAAGGATCTACACGACGATCTTACTTCCGGACAGGTGACTAATTATTATTTTTTTTTTTATTTTTTTTTTTTTTGGGTTATTTACATTGTTCTCATTGTTTTCATCTGATGCCTAAGGGGATTACAGGCCCAGTTCAAAACTCAAATGCCCTGTTCAATTTTCAATTTTCAACGCGATTTAGTAGTTAATCGCCTAAACTATGTGCTTAGAAGCTTAAGGAAGATGAGAAATAGGGAAAAAGACAAGGAAACATTCAGACATTTAGGCAGCATCCTTTATAGACAAAAACTATAACAAGCGGTCGAAGTTTCGGCTTTTACAACAAAGGCTGCTAACCAAGCGTCCGATTGTTCCCGTGTGTGGGTCTTTTCCCCCAAATACTAGCTTTAGTTCATGTGATTTGGCAGCAAACCGTCTTGTGTTGATTTCGACAGTGGTATCGTTTACAGAGCACTAGCACACTAATGAACGTGCATTTGCCTATAAAAACCATAACAGCCAAAAAACAAAATGCTGGAGTTAATTCTGCAACGTGTTCTGTAAAGGACACGCAATAAACATATAGCAATGGCAAACTACTGAAAGTAAAACAACAAGACAGACAACACATACTGGCACTGGTTTACAACGTTCTGTCATGGATGAGCAGGTAACTGGGGCGGGGGGAGGAGATGGCAGAGGGGGGCGAAGGGTTCTACTAGTGACTATTCACTTTTTCTAATAAAATGGTTACATATGAAATGATTGCACCGACATGCCAGTGGGTTACCGCGGACAACAGGATAAGCAGTAAACTATGATCTATTCTGAAAGTCCGACTGAACTCCTTCGGTTCCAGAATATCATAGGCAATAATGACATGATGTATCCTATCAGGTCTTTTGCAGAACGCCACTCTCATCACAGTCTGCCGGAAAGAAACTCGGCTTCTCACCGGTTCTCCCGCCAAGTGCATTTTCATATCCAAGGATTCATTTATATCCTGTGCCCATCTTCGTGTTGGTCGGCCCCTGCCACTCATTCCTGGTAACATTCCTGGTGCTGTTATTATCTGCCCCAATCCGCTATCGTGCTTGATATGGTCAAAATATTTTAACTTCCGAGATGCTGAATATTAGCCGGTCACATCCGGAATGTTACTACAGAGAAGATGTATGATGCTTGTTCTCAACATTTTAGCTTTGATTTTATTGCTGTTGCTGAACCATAACCTGTGTTACTATGGCCATCCTCCTTTTAACCTCTGTTGATCAGTCTTTTTATATGTTTATTATGGGGCCTAAATATTCAAAGTGTGTGACATTTGCAATTTCTTCATCATTTATTGTTATTTTTAGGTGACAGCAAAATGTTTGGCTTACGATCTCGCCCGACTACTTACATCAACGACAAACTGCATTTCTGGTAGGGACTGTTGGCTTTGGCGCCTCTAGTAACTGCCATATGCAATTACTGTGTATGGATATTTATGTACTGCTCCGGGTCTTATTGTTAGCCAGTTTTTCAGACGCAACAGTGAGGGACATTTCATTTGATTTACACTGGAACAGGAACGGAGCAAGTATAGGGTAACCCCACTGCAGTGAAGTTGAAACCTGGATTAAGACCAATAGGCGTACAGCTTCCAGAGGGGTCCAAATATACGATCTTTATAGAAAAAAATATATATAATCAGTGTTTATTACAGCCCCCGACCAAGCATCTTATGTAAACACAAACACAAACATGTTGATGGGTAGACATGAATCATTTCAAGTAACACGTGATGCTTTGACAGCATTGATAGGGAATCTCTCTGGAAAATAATGGGGAATATGGAATCCCACAGAAAATTATCAACTAAGTAAAGGCAACATATGTAGATATGAAATGTCGAGTTCTTCATGAGGGAAAGCTAACAGATGCATTTAAAATAAAAACAAGTGTGCGACAGGAATTCTTTTGTCGCCTCTCCTATTTGTACTGGCCATAGACTGGATTGTGTAAAGACAGTAACCGCTAACGCCACGAAAAGAATTCAGTGAAGTTACGAGGGTGGGAAAGGCTTGGAGAGAGCTGTATGCGATAGCGAATGGCAAAACCTCTTGGAGTGAGTTGATTGAGGGCCTATGCTCCATTAGGGATTAGAAAGGCACAAGAAGATGAACACGTGATGCGTTGCTTGGGAAACAGAGAGATTTGAGATGAGATTATGGTTACCTCATAATAATTTGACGGAAAAATCCAGTCCAGTCCAGTCTCCAAATTTCTTGGCATGAGTTAAACTGAAGGCATATGCTCCATTGTGAAGCAGAAAGGGGGAAATGAGTTCGCTTAGAGCTTATACACCATTCAGGAGGCAGCAGCAGTAAATTATATTAATATGTTTAATTAGGATTTCATTGAGTTTTTTACCGTAAGCCCAGCGTTGTTGAGGGATCCGGTAGGTGTTGGTCTGAATTCTTCTTCTTCTTTTTCTTCAGCACTGCGAGCCCTTGAGGCTCGTTGCTGCAGATATCACCCGCCTCCATTCATCTCTCTGGTTGGCCTTCTCTTTCCACTTGGTGACACCAAGTGTTAGCAGGTCTGTCTGGACATTATCTCTCCATCGTCTTCTTGGTCTTTCTCGTGGTCTATGACCATTTATCTCCATTGTGTATACAATTTCTACTTCTCTTATCATCTGACATTCTTTCAATATGCCCCAACCATTTCAGTCTATTAGCTTTCATGATGTCAGTGATCAAAAGTGATTTAAACAAATTATGAATTTTGTTGCGGCATCTGTGGCTTAGGCGTTGCGAGTCCGACTCGTAATCCAACATACCGCGATCAAAACCCACTGCTGGCTGCGTGGATTTTTGTCATGGTATGGGGCGTCGTTGGTCGACCCAGTCTAAAACCGGTACCAGGATGGCTGTCCCGGAGAAGTAAAGACGGCCGGCGTAATGCTGACCACATTACCCATCCAGTGCCGATTGGTCTGTAAAAATATGGGACGCTCTTTCTACCCGATGCTGCTAAGGCGTGAAAAGGGATCTTTAATTTTACTTTACTTATGAATTTCGTTGTTGCTTCTCACTCTCCATTCTCCGCTGTTCGCATCTTTGATGGTCTAGTTTACATCTATTATATCGATAAGGTAGTACAGGACAGAACAAAATGAAAGGCTAAAATGCGAACCTTATGTGACGAATAAGGGTATGACAGGATGATGATGATGGTTGTGATGATGATGATAACGATGAATATTGTGATGAATCGAATGTTGTGCTCCACTGGAACCCAAAAGAAGATTATGTAGAGATAGAAGATTATATAGAGATAGAAGATTATGTAGAGATAGGAGATTATATAGAGATAGAAGATTATATAGAGATAGAAGATTATGTAGAGATAGAAGATTATATAGAGATAGAAGATTATATAGAGATAGAAGATTATATAGAGATAGAAGATTATATAGAGATAGAAGATTATATAGAGATAGAAGATTATATAGAGATAGAAGATTATATAGAGATAGAAGATTATATAGAGATAGAAGATTACATAGAGATAGAAGATTATATAGAGATAGAAGATTATGTAGAGATAGAAGATTATGTAGAGATAGGAGATTATATAGAGATAGAAGATTATGTAGAGATAGGAGATTATATAGAGATAGAAGATTATGTAGAGATAGGAGATTATATAGAGATAGAAGATTATATAGAGATAGAAGATTATATAGAGATAGAAGATTATATAGAGATAGAAGATTATGTAGAGATAGGAGATTATATAGAGATAGAAGATTATGTAGAGATAGGAGATTATATAGAGATAGAAGATTATGTAGAGATAGGAGATTATATAGAGATAGAAGATTATGTAGAGATAGAAGATTATATAGAGATAGAAGATTATATAGAGATAGAAGATTATATAGAGATAGAAGATTATGTAGAGATAGAAGATTATATAGAGATAGAAGATTATGTAGAGATAGGAGATTATATAGAGATAGAAGATTATATAGAGATAGAAGATTATATAGAGATAGAAGATTATGTAGAGATATGAGATTATATAGAGAGAGAAGATTATGTAGAGATAGGAGATTATATAGAGATAGAAGATTATGTAGAGATAGGAGATTATATAGAGATAGAAGATTATGTAGAGATAGGAGATTATATAGAGATAGAAGATTATGTAGAGATAGAAGATTATGTAGAGATAGAAGATTATGTAGAGATAGAAGATTATATAGAGATATTTAATTATGTTTTATTGCCCACAGATTGACGAGCTGCTTGAAAACTTTCATGAACTCAACGATTTGGATAACAAAAAAGTTGTCATTGATGATGTAACAGCTATGCAGGGAGCTCACGTTCTGGCCTATCTGTAGGTACCAAATTATATTTCAGGTTGATAGATGTAATGTTTCCTTGATTAATAGAAACAAATGTAACCCACAGGATAAAATAAAGTAAAATAAAGTACAATATTTAGTAAAGGAGCCTTTTCGAGGTCTTTATGCGTACTGGACATAAAGTACAAGACCTATGTAAACAGCAGACGGCACTCAGTTGATGGTCTGATCAACATCATACCGCCCGCCTTTACTTCCTAGGACTTTACCAGGTATCCACTTAAGGCTAGGTCTACCTGGGAATAAAGGGGTAATTTTAAAGGGGAAAAAAAAGTAAGGCTGCGTTCGGATTTTAACCCACATTTAGATATGCGAATTTCTCAAGTAATTACTTCTTTTTCTTTTTCTTCTTTTCCTTCTTCTTTTTCTTCTTCTCCTTCTTCCTCTCCTTCTTCTTTTTCTTCTTCCTCTCCTTCTTCTTTTTCTTCTTCTTCTTCTTCTTCTTCTTCTTCTTCTTCTTCTTCTTCTTCTTCTTCTTCTTCTTCTTCTTCTTCTTCTTCTTCTTCTTCTTCTTCTTCTTCTTCTTCTTCTTCTTCTTCTTCTTCTTCTTCTTCTTCTTCTTCTTCTTCTTCTTCTTCTTCTTCTTCTTCTTCTTCTTCTTCTTCTTCTTCTTCTTCTTCTTCTTCTTCTTCTTCTTCTTCTTCTTCTTCTTCTTCTTCTTCTTCTTCTTCTTCTTCTTCTTATAAATAAACGAAGGGGGAACCTTTGAGGCCGTTAAATGTTATGAATTAATCAAGTAACAGAAAGTGTATTGATCGGCACTCATAGAAAGAAGTAGTCTTCTTCTTCTTCTTCTTCTTCTTCTTCTTCTTCTTCTTCTTCTTCTTCTTCTTCTTCTTCTTCTTCTTCTTCTTCTTCTTTTCTTCTTTTTCTTCTTCTTTTCTTCTTCTTCTTCTTCTTCTTTTCTTCTTCTTCTTCTTCTTCTTCTTCTTCTTCTTCTTCTTCTTCTTCTTCTTCTTCTTCTTCTTCTTCTTCTTCTTCTTTTCTATTCTGCGTTTACTTTTAAAACGTCGATTGGCCCTTGTTTGTTAATTAGTTAATTATTTTTTTTAGTTAGGCAATCGGCAGATAGTTCTCATTGCAAATCCTATTAATCAGTCCATCGGTGCCCGGATTCTCTCCTCAATAAAACCTTATCATGTAATGACTTAAAAAACCAGTTCTATGTTATGTTGGTTTATTCTTCTTATTTTGCTTCCAGCTCTTGTTTCGCCAGACTCCTTTTAGCCTGGCTCTTGCTAGGTTGGCATTTTGCATTGTGATAAATAGCCGGACTGCGATGTCTGTACTATCTGACCAATCTATAAGTTGCTTGTGACTTTAAGATAAAAATGTAAAACTAATACATTTGTCACCCGGGAAAATGTGTATGTGATATTCAAGCATGCAGGAATCCTATCGAAGATTGTTAGTAGTACAAGCAATGTACTGTTTGCTTACATATGCTACACATTAATGCTAATTTATTTATTTTGATTTATTAGATCCAAAGACGTATTTGAGAAGCTTGAATTTACCAATGCTGGAAAACTGGCGTTTATATCGCAAGTTGCCAAGATGCCCACTCACAAAATGTCGAGAGAACATGTTCAGTTTTTAGCCAAAAAGATATTAGAAATGCTAGACGATACTGACAGCGCTGAATCTCCAAATGTAAGTAGAAATATCTTTTTGGTTTATTCTCCGAATATTATGTCCAATATTTGATTGTTCTCTGTGGCTAAGTCGATGCAAACGCTTCGTAATGACGGGATGCCGGGTTCGATTCCAGCTGCGGGCTATGCGCCTTGCGTTGGTTTCAACAGTAGTATCAAGAAAGCCGACCGTCCAGGGAGCAATGGCAAACTACTGGACGTGAATTTGCCTAGAAAAACCCCACAACAGCCAGGGGCTGTTGGGGGTGGTTCTGCAACGTCCTGTAAAGGATACGCAACAACCGATTTGATTATTAATATTTGTTATGTGCCTCGGAGAGTTACACACGTTGGTGATATACAGGCTAGTATCTGTCCTTTTCATCCTCTTCAACGAAGTTTTTCACCAGGGACACAGATGAGTATCTTTTATTTTGTACATTAGAGTCCTATGTAGTCACTTCATAGTTAGAGCATGTTTGTGTTTGTGTACTGTATGCGCTGATAAAGGCTAATCGCCGCAGCGTTCTTTGTTTGTTTATTATGATCGATTCTGTAAAGCTAAAATAAACTATTTTTTTCTTTTTGACCCCCTTTTTTTCTTCGCTATAATTTCTTCTGCTTTGAAAACTCTTAGAGTAAGCATAGTCTCTGTTGTGTCAAACAGTGTACGTAGGAAACAGAAACAACTTAATTCATTTCCCGTCCTTCTTAGGATGAAATTTTTCGTTATTTGAAGCCCTACTCTGGCTCTTGCCAGGGACCGCAATATAGCCCGGCCATAAACATGGCCTAATGGCTGAACGCGGTTTCTGGGACCTCTCCACGGTGATCGTCATCCACATGGTGGCACTCTGTGTCATCGGGTGTTTATCGCTGGTGTGATGTCCTGGTGGGGTAGAAAGTCAGTCAGTCACAGAAACAACGAAGCATATGTCTGCATGCTCATGTGCTGTCACTGCGGGACTCAAGCATCTTGACAACCCTACCCCCCCCCCTCCCCCCCCCCCACCCCCCCCTACCCCCACTCCCACCCCTACCCCAGTCCCAATTTTAAGGGAGACTCAGGACCTCTCCACTTTCCGAAAAATTAAGAAGCAGAGCTTAGAAAAAAAATTGTAATGAATAAACTTCTGCACGAGGTAGGGAAAGCGGGCGTTTAACCTCTTTACACATGTTTCTGGAAACCTACAAAAACAGAGGGAGAAAATGGGACGGTAGAGGGGCGGGCTAATAAAAAGGAGTGGGGATAGAGATTCAGGGCCCCTCCTCATCCCACCCTCATTTTTTGCATTACACAATTACGCGGGGGGGGGGGGGGGAGGGTTAGTTGCTGAGCCTCGCGAACATTGCACCCCTGAAAAAAGAATGCATATTTATGTTGTTTTCCTAAAAAAAATACTAAATAAGTCCCATATCGGATACTGCCGCCTGGGCAGTTACTTTAGTCTTTCGCGCATTCTCTAGTCCACAGGAAGCGACTTTTGGAGCGTTTATTTCTCCTACCCAAATATTTCACTAAAAATTATGAGGCTTGAGTAGTAATGATCCTAGCAAATAGTCCCTTCTTTGCTAAGTGCCACTGTCTTTACGGTTTAACACACTGACATTCTTGTCACCTGTACCACTTTCCCTGTTAAATGCATATTACCATAACAGAATGAAAACGGTAGCCGAATTTTTAATCAAGGGAAATAATTAAATGCAAAATTAGCAAGGGAAATAATCAAAACTTAAAATAAATTTTGAAAAAAGTATTAAATATTGAGAATTGTTTTTAAAAACTATTAACATAATTTTTACTTTTCTTTTACGCCTAATTTTTGTAAATAATATTTTTACAAGTTATAAAAATCTGAGCGAATTATGTGTAATTTTTTAATAATTGTTTTTCATAAATTTAATCTATAAAAATAAGATCCTGTTAAATTATTTTGGTTTAATATAATATCCATTACAATGTTTCTTCACGTTAAAATCATCATCATTTCCTTTAAATAGGAAACTTTATTTGCAGGGCGATATTTTCGCCTATATTTAGCATATTTAAAAAAAGCAATGACATCTTAAGTAAACATTCGTCATTTTCAATCTTTCCTCGCAGACGTTTTTATAGAAAGAATAGTATAAATGATAGAAAGCTTAAATAAAGGCATAGGAAAAGATGGACACTGATTTGTCTAAATCATAGTATGTGCTGTATTTAGTTTCCCGTTGATAAAGACTTAGGTCGAAACGTTCTGTTGTGTTTGTGCACATACTTTCCACTGAGTTTTCTAGTTAAACTGTGTTACATTTAGAATTTCTTGCAATCAGCTCGACTGCAGTCAGCCCTAATTTACGTTTGTAGAAAGAGTGGTCCCGAGGCATGGCGTCCGCCTCGAGTGATAGAGGTGTCGAGTCAAAACTCCGGTGAAGGCTGAGATTTTTTCACGTGGACTTAGAAGTAATTTCCCCTGGTCTCTGGGTAGTAAGATCGGAAGCAGAATTAACTAGGATGGAGAATGTTGGTTTAATATTTGTTTTGGTCGTATCATACAATCCCATTGTTGAACTTGCCGGTCATATTTATAAATTAACAGGTGGAGAGTCCCTGAGGCCGTAGAAACAAACAGAGAATGTAATGATTAGCACTCATAAAAAGAAGACTTCCATATTTCTGCTTCTTTCTATTAGTACTGATCACAATTTTTAAGTTCGATTGCCGGCATAGTACCTACAGTTTTCGAATTTTGTTTTGTCTAGTGTGTCCTTCTATCGTTCTTTAAGTGCCAATCAATATGTGTATGTTTGTTTTATATATATATCAATATGTGTATGTTTGTTTTATATATATATATATATATATATATATATATATATATATATATATATATATATATATATATATATATATTAATTAGGGCTGTACCGAATAGTGATTTTCACTATTCGGCCGAATACGAATAGTGGGACCAACTATTCGGCCGAATACGAATAGTGTATAGTGTATAAAATATATCTAAAAAAAATTTAAAAACACATTCATAATGTCAAAAGTACGCTGCACTTTTACTTCACATAAAGTAGCACAGAATAGTCGTCTTCTTCTTTAGTATTCTGAGCCCTTGAGGTTTACTGCTGCAGATATCACTCGTCTCCATTCATCTCTCTGGCTGGCCTTATCTTCACAATTTGTGACACACGTTGTTTGCAGGCCTGGCTGGACATTATCTCTCGAACTTTCTTTTTTTTTTTTTTGTCTGCCTCGTGGTCTACGCCCATTTCTCTCTCAGGTGTAAACAGTTTTTATTTCTCTGCCATCTGATATTCTTTCAATATGCCCCAACCATTTTAGTCTGTCAGTCTCATGGTGCCAGTGATCAATGGTGATTTAAACAGATTATGTGTTACGTTGTTGCTTCTCACTCTCCATTCCCCGCTGTTAGCATTTTTGATGGGTCCAAAGATTTGTTGTAAGACTTTTCGAAAACCTGTAATAAGGCCTCATCTCTTTTATTTCTGCTTCAAGTTTCAGAGCCATATAAAAAGACTGGTGTTATCAACGTTTTATATATTTTGATCTTAGAGTTGCGAGACAGCCACTTTGACTTTAGCAGATGTTGAAGGGCATAGTATACTTTATTTCTAGATTGTATTCTAGATTGTATTTCTTCTCTCAGCATGTTGGAGCAGCTGAAGTTTGCACCCAAGTACTTATAAGTTTTCGTTCGTTTGATTTTCATATTATCGCCTTGGATGTGGACTGAGTTTTTATTCTTTCCATGTCTAGTTAGTATTCGTAAACATTTAAAAACATTTTATGTTTTCATCCTTCAGTCAGTCTGTGGTAACTAATAACTACGAATGAAAGAATCCTAAGTATTATAACAAGTAATTAAGCTTGGAAATTGCCACTGACAGTAGTTAATGCAGGAAAGCTGCATTAGCTTTTAACAAAACCAATCGTTCCATGTTGTCAGCATTAAGGCAGTGTATGCTTAAGCGGGTGTAAGGTAACTTCTATTCGTATTCGGCCCGACCGCCACTATTCGGCCGAATACCGAATAGCCAATAGGCCCACTATTCGACCCCGAAGCGAATACGAAGCGAATATTCGGTACAGCCCTAATATATATATATATATATATATGATGCTTCCAATGCATCGCAGGTTTCCTATTTGTGTGTGGAAGTGGGAGAAAAATCACTTAACTACTAAACCACAAAACTCCACCCTTAAATTTCCCTCATTATTTTTTTTTAACTATTTCAACAGCAAACAGATGTTTTTTTAACTCATAGTAATAAACAGATGTTTCTTTAACTCATAATAATAAACAGATGTTTTTTAACTCGTAGTAATAAACAGACGTTTCTTTAACTCATAGTAATAAACAGATTTTTCTTCAACCCGTAATAATAAACAGATGTTTCTTTAACTCGTAGTAATAAACAGATGTTTCTTTAACTCATAGTAATAAACATATGTTTTTTTTAACTCGTAGTAATAAACAGACGTTTCTTTAACTCATAACAATAAAAAGATGTTTCTTTAACTCATAGTAATAAACAGATGTTTCTTTAACTCGTGGTAATAAACAGATGTTTCTTTAACTCGTAGTAATAAACAAATGTTTCTTTAACTCATAGTAATAAACAGATTTTTCTTCAACCCGTAATAATAAACAGATGTTTCTTTAACTCGTAGTAATAAACAGATATTTATTTAACTCATAGTAATAAACAGATATTTCTTTAACTTATAGTAATAAACAGTAGTTTCTTTAACTCGTAGTAATAAACAGTAGTTTCTTTAACTCATAGTAATAAACAGATGTTTCTTTAACTCATAGTAATAAACAGATGTTTCTTTAACTCATAGTAATAAACAGATGTTTCTTTAACTCATAGTAATAAACAGATGTTTCTTTAACTCGTAGTAATAAACAGATGTTTCTTTAACTCATAGTAATAAACAGATGTTTCTTTAACTCGTAGTAATAAACAGATGTTTCTTTAACTCATAGTAATAAACAGATGTTTCTTTAACTCGTGGTAATAAACAGATGTTTCTTTAACTCGTAGTAATAAACAAATGTTTCTTTAACTCATAGTAATAAACAGATGTTTCTTTAACTCGTAGTAATAAACAGATGTTTCTTTAACTCATAGTAATAAACAGATGTTTCTTTAACTCGTAGTAATAAACAGATGTTTCTTTAACTCGTAGTAATAAACAGATGTTTCTTTAACTCATAGTAATAAACAGATGTTTCTTTAACTCGCAGTAATAAACAGATGTTTCTTTAACTCATAGTAATAAACAGATGTTTCTTTAACTCGCAGTAATCAGTATTAGAGTAAAGGACACTTGTCCACGCCTTCAGGTAAATTGGACATACAGGGCCAGGCTTATATTTTATAGACCAATCGGCACTCTGTAAGTAATATGGTCAGTATCACGCCGGCCACCTTTACTTCCTAGTAGTGAATCTGGTATCCAGTCAAGGCTAGGTCGACCTGGAGAGTCAAGGTTGTTTTGTTTTTAGTTCGTCTCCTTCTGTCTGTGTTTCTTTCTGTCTTTCTATCTTTCTGTCTTTCTGTCTTTCTGTCTTTCTTTCTTTCTTTCTTTCTTTCTTTCTTTCTTTCTTTCTTTCTTTCTTTCTTTCTTTCTTTCTTTCTTTCTTTCTTTCTTTCTTTCTTTCTTTCTTTCTTTCTTTCTTTCTTTCTTTCTTTCTTTCTTTCTTTCTTTCTTTCTTTCTTTCTTTCTTTCTTTCCTTCTTTCTTGCTTTCTTTCTTTCTTTCTCTCTCTCTCTCTTTCTTTCTTTCTTTCTTTCTTTCTTTCTTTCTTTCTTTCTTTCTTTCCTTCTTTCTTGCTTTCTTGCTTTCTTGCTTTCTTGCTTTCTTTCTCTCTCTCTCTCTCTCTCTCTCTCTCTCTCTCTCTCTTTCTTTCTTTCTTTCTTTCTTTCTTTCTTCTTCCTTTCCTTCTTTCTTTCTTTCTTTCCTTCCTTCCTTCTTTCTTTCTTTTTTTTTTTTCAATCCAGAAACCATGAGCTGTGAACCCTCTGGCTCGGAATTATGGATATGGCAACCCTTCTACCTCGACTCCATGATAGGACATATATGGCTTTTCTGCCTACCCCCGAGCGTGAACTCGGACCACAAGGAGTTTGTCCCCTGGTCACCGCGCAGCTGGTTTAACTAACTTAGCTAGTGCGCCGGTCTAAACCCACGGCTCCCCCCCCCCCCTCCCCTCTTCCCTACAATGGGGCCCTTAAATCCTCATGACGATGGATGCCAACAAAGAATGTAGACAAATAGACCGTTTTCATTAAACCACGGTAGAATGTTTTTAATATTTATTTGTACGTTCTCCTCTTCAGTGGTTGCAGTCTGTAGTATTACCAACTCAAGGACACACACAAATACACCATGTACAAATTTCGGAAACCCCGTTCAACCGTATAGACGTATCAACATCATGTAGCAGGCCCTTTGCAGAACGTCGCTCTCATCACGGTCTGCCTCAAATGGAGGGGAGGGGGAGGGCTTGGTCTCTCGCCTGCTCTCCCGCCTCGTGTACTTTCATATTCAAGGAGTCACTTATATCCTATGCCCATCTTCGTGTTGGTCGACCTCTGCGCCTCCTTCCTGGTACCATGCCTTCTGCTATTATTTTTCCCAATCCAGTGGGGTGCTTGATATGACCAGAACATATCAGCTTTCAAGATGCGGTTTATTAGCCAATCTTCCTTGATGTTCAGATCTTTAAAAATATCAGTATTTCTTCTTTTCAATGGTATAGCCATATAGCACAGCTTTATTGAGGCACCACAAAACGATTACAAAGTAACCGGTAGTCCAGTATGAATAGGTCGATGCATTTTGAACAAATCTGTGGTGCTTTTATTATTTCAGGCAAAATCTGTGAACCGTGAATCCAGGCGTCTACGCTCACTTGGCCAAATGACTCTGGGTTTGACCCCATCACAGATTGGCGGCTTAAATGGAATGGCTGTCATTGACAATTTGGACATTCTCAGAAATCTGGCACTAGCCAAAGAACAGACTAAAGCATACTTGGAGAAAATAGAAGATACAGTCGAGTAAGTATATAGGTGTAACGTCTTCTTCACGTTCACCAGTTGTAAACTTCGGCGGATAGTTCTGGCTGTTCGTCCACTGCTTGATCTTGTCTTGTTCCAAAACTTGAGTTTAGCGTGCACATCAGCTTAACAAATCTGGCTTATATGTAAGCACAGAAAGACAGACCCCTGAGCACATACTGCAGTACTGCCCTTACCTCTCCCAGCAAAGACTGTGGATCTGGCCCAGGGGATCCACATTGCGAGAGAAGCTATGGGGGACCTGTGGCGACCTTAAACGCACAATCCTATTTTTGACCCAGACGGGACTCAATGTTTAGCATGACTGATGTCGAACGCAGAAGAAGTAAGCAGACTTTTGGTTTCTCGCCTCTCAGACATATGCACTCGGACTTCGAAGGAATGACCCACAACTAGTGAACTTTTACGAACATACTTGTAAGAGAGGCAGTGAGTGTGTTATTGTTTTCCCACACAATGGGGCCCTGGAACCCCACATTGGGAAAGTGTTTATAGCTCTTATAATATTAAAGCTTTATGTCATCGACATTTGATTCTCTAGCTTTGTCCATCCCATTCCACTTTACAAACAACAACAAAAACAAAACAAAAACTAAAAAAATCTTGATCACGTTCAATCAGCTGCTAGCCAGCCGAAGCTGCCAACAGTCTCCGGTTATATTTGTGGACTGGTTTATTTGCGCCACTTGTGTGGCTAAGACTGGTATTTGCGCCAGCTCTCTGGCTCTACGTTCCTATCATAGTAGCTAGACTGCTCATTCCTGTCTGTGTACCAATGTGTTTCTCTTATCCTTATCTTCTTGATGTTTTTTCTCGAGTGTCATTCTTCGTCCGGTTCATTCTCATTATTGTTGTCTTTGTGTCCTTCAATGTGTTTCCAAATCTGTTCCCTTCTAGTTTGGCCAGGCGTATCTTCGTAAGAGACCGAGCTAACTGACTGACTGACTTTCTACCCCCACCAGGACATCACACAAACGATAAACACCCAATGACACAAAATGCCACCATGTGGATGAGGATCGCCGTGGAGAGGTCCCAGAAACCGCGTTCAGACATTTGGCCATATTTATGGCCTGCCTATATTGCGGCCCCTGGCAAAAGCCAGGGTGGGGCTTCAAATAACAAAAATTTCGTCCTAAAAAGGACGAATCTGGATAACACTTAGAGACCGAGCTAGTTCGCAGATATTCTTTACACAACGTTCTTTCGTACCACTATTTACAGTTTTAAAATTGTATTTAATTTGCCAAAAGTACTGAAAACAATTTTTGGATTTGAATAGGTCCAAAATTGTGAAAATAATTCCCGTTTGATCATATCGATCTTACTGAAGTCTTCAGCAAATTATTTATATAATAATGATGACGATGAAATTGTTGAGCCCAGCTATGATTCTACCCGCCCCGGTTGTTGTCGGCGTCTGTATATAACCTTGGAGTTGAATGGGTTTCTGGGACTTGCTCCTGTGGGAATTCCCATCCAAATGGTGGCATTTGTGTTATTGGTGTTAATCTTTCGTTGTGTGGTCCTGGTGGGTTGGAACATCACTTAATCGATCAAGCAAGACTTCTGCTGTATATAATAAACATATTTATAATAGGGCGTGCCGCGTCCGTGGCTTAGGCGTTGCGAGTCCGACTCGTAATTCCAACGTACCGCGATCAAAACCCACTGCTGGCTGTGTGGATTTTTATCATGGTATGGGGCGTTGAAGGTCGAATCAGCCTTAAATGCGTGCCAGGATGGATGTCCTGGGGAAGTAAAGACGGCCGGTTTAATCCTGACCACATTACCCACCCAGGGCTGATTGGTCTGTAAAAAATATGGGGTGCTCTTCCCATGTGCCCGATGAGCCTAAAGGCGTGAAAAGGGATCTTTACTTTACTATAAAAGGGCATGCCTACTGTGACAAAGTCATCTTTAGTCCAGTGTGGCGAGGCGATGTTGTAGTTAATGTTCTCACGTTTAATCTGGATGAACCCGGAAGGTCTAACATACCATCATTCCCCCCCCCCCCTTTTTTTTTTCAATATGACCGGTTCTTATATTAATACAACTGATATCAAGCCAGATCGAAATTTACTCACAGTGATAAGATTTTTATTTATCGCTAGTCACTTGACAAACATAGAGTTGAGTTAAATCAAGAATTGACATCGCAGCACTCCGGGCATTCCCATGCTTGCACCAAGTCCTCGTCTTCGGCAGCCGGCGCAGAGTTTCTCTACTGATGGTAGCGGTCACAATCTGATTATATGTCCGTCTTGCCTTTCCTCTGAGTGTAGTGAGCCGGCCAGACCCTCTGGTTACACCCAGGTGCCTCATTCTCTCCAGCCCATAATAATTTTGTTTCTCTACTGATTCCGTTCTTGTTCCTAAAGGGCCTTGATAACATCTGCCTTGTCATGTATCATACATAGATTAGCATGAGTCCCAGTGCTCGTGGAACCCCGGGCGACTGACCAGCGGGTTGATGCGTTAAGATGACACTGATCCGAGCAGTGTTTTTTTAAAGTGTGTTGATATAATTATCGAGTAAAAAGCCATCAATGAAGAAGTTGTTTATTACAGAAACTGGCGTTGTGACATCAGCATTCTGGCTAGAGTCGGACCTCTGCTTCAGCACCACGATGACCCATTCAGTGACGACTGTGATGTAAGTAGTGCCTAAAGCCCAACAAGAAAGTAAAAATAATATTATATCTTCTTCTTCTTCCTCTTCTTCTTATTATTAGTTTTTCTTCTTCTTCTTCTTCTTCCTCTTCTTCTTCTTCTTTTTTTTTTTTTTCTTCATCTTCATCTTCTTCTTCTTCTTCTTCTTCTTCTTCTTCTTCTTCTTTCTTCTTCTTCTTTCTTCTACTTCTTCTTCTTCTTCTTCTTCTTCTTCTTCTTCTTCTTTCTTCTACTTCTTCTTCTTCTTCTTCTTCTTCTTCTTCTTCTTCTTCTTCTTCTTCTTCTTCTTCTTCTTCTTCTTCTTCTTCTTCTTCTTCTTCTTTTTCTTCTTCTTCTTCTTTCTCTTCTTCTTCTTCTTTGTTCACCAGATGTTCACTCCAGTGGAAAGTCCTGGCTGTTTGTCCATGTGGACTCTGGTTTTGTGCCAGGGCCTGAGTTTTGCGTGTACATCCATTTTATTGGCTTATTTGTGTGGAGTTGGTTGTTTCTTGCCGCTCGAGTAGATGCACTCTGACTTCGAAGGAAGCCCCAATTAGTCGACTGCTACGACATGCATGTTGGGGAGGCAGTGGGTCTATTCTTGTTTTCCCCACTATAGAACCCCGGAACCCACACGGGGATAATGGTATATAATTCTACACAATTAAAAAAAAAAAGTTTGTAAGTTACTGTGGGCGCAATCAGGTGCCGTCTCCACAGTGAAGGTTGGTTGCAATGGATCTCCAACACGCCCGGTCTCTTGTCATGGTTGTACACTTTCTCGTAAACTGCTGCCCATCCATCTCTTGATGTTGTCCTCCAGCTTGTATCGCTGCCCACCTTTTGTTCTCTTGCTTTCGACCTTTCCCTCCAATATGGCTTTTAGAAATGTGTTATGTTCTTTAATGTGGCCGAATTATTTCACATGTCTCTTTTCTATTTCTTTCAGTATTTCTCTTTTAATTTGTAGCCTTTCCAGAACCTCTGTATTGGATTGTTTTTGTTTCCATGAAATATGACCTATTATTCTGTATACCCTCATTTCCAGAGAATCAGTTTGGTTTTGCAGTTTCTCCCGCCTTGTGTACTTTCATATTCAAGAAGTCACTTATATCCTGTGCCCATCTTCGTGTTGGTCGACCTCTGCGCCTCCTTCCTGGTAGCGTGCCTTCTGCTATTATTTTTCCCAACCCGCCGGGGCGCTTGATATGACCAGACTGTGTCAGCTTCCGAGACAAGATGCTGTTTATTAGCCAATCTTCCTTGGCGTTCAGCTCTTTTAAAATGCCAGTATTTCTTCTCTTCTTTGGTAAAGCCATATCGCACAGCTTTACTGAGGTACCACAAAACAGTTACGAAGTAACCGGTACTCCAGTATGAATGTGTCGATGCATTTTGTAAAAATCTGTGATGCTTTTATTATTCCAGGCAAAATCAGTTTCGAACAGCTTGTTCATTGTCCTGGTGTTCGCAGTATATGATGTCTTCATAAGCTATGTCTATCGCACACTGTGTTACTCCTGGGTCTTCATTAGCTATGTCTATCGTACACTGTGTTACTCCTGGGTCTTCATTAGCTATGTCTATCGTACACTGTGTTACTCCTGGGTCTTCATTAGCCATGTCTATCGTACACTGTGTTACTCCTGGGTCTTCATTAGCCATGTCTATCGCACACTGTGTTACTCCTGGGTCTTCAGCATGCTCTGCAGCTGGGTATTCTAGACCTGTAGATATACAGGGTTAGACGTGTAGGTTTTGTTCTCATAAGGTGGCCGAACCAATGTATTCTGTCTTCCTTCATAATAAAAGTATTAAACAAACAGGTGATGTATTGAGTGGCACTCACAGAAAGAAGTAGAGAGATAGAAGGTCACATTAACCCCCCCCCCACACACACACACACACACGCACGCACGCGCACACACACACACACACACACACACACACACACACAAACACACAATTTGAAAGCTACAATTTTCATGCCGGTAATTGAACATGTAACCTCACAATGATGGCATCGCCTTGCTGCAGAAACAAGTGTACTAACATGCATAAACAACTAAGCACCTCTCCCCTCCCCCCCCCCCCCATTGTGTCTTCATTAGCCATATCTATTGTACAGTTAGGGAGTTATGGAATGCAAACAGAATTCGTCTCAAACCACCGAAATGGCACAATAAATCTATAATGCTGAGTTATGAACTGGGTTATCCTCAAAGCACTTTGACCAAATCCGTAGGTGCTCAGACACACTACTTCCCCCCCCCCCCTTTTTTTTTTTAAACACGCACTTATATCGGGGACTCAGATATTTCGCAGGAAATTCCCGGGAAAGTCCAATATTATAGAGGGGAGGGTTAGGGGGTAGTGTTAGTCGCTGTTCATTTGACACCCCAACACCCCTATACTATTGGACTTTCCCAGGAACTTCCCAAGAAATCTCGTAGTCCCAGAGGTGAGAGGAATTAAAAGAATAGAACCACGCGCTACACTCAAAATCTCTGATTGTCTTCTCTCTCTCTCTCTCTCTCTCTCTCTCTCTCTCTCTCTCTCTCTCTCTCTCTCTCTCTCTCTCTCTCTCTCTCCTCTCTCTCTCTCTCTCTCTCTCTCTGTGTTTCTCTCCTTTCTCTCTTCTTCCTCTCTCTCTCTCTCTCTCTCTCTCCTCTCTCTTCTTCCTCTCTCTCTCTCTCTGTCTCTCTCTCTATCTCTCTCTCTCTCTCTCTCTCTCTCTCTCTCTCTCTCTCTCTCTCTCTCTCTCTCAGTACATTGACAATGTTAGTGCATCCACATGCGTAGTACTACAGCTTCTGCCATTGCTTTCATGCCATCATTTCTAAACACATCTTCTCGTGTAAAGTTTACTTTAAAAAAAAAATCAAGTTTATCATAATTTTTCTGTGGTGAATTTCAGGAAAAATTCAAAGAGGGACAGCTGGGCGCGTTGCTTGGAGTGGTAAAAAGCTTGGAGAAGGTCAGGGAAACATTGCGGGAAAGAATAGAGGAGGGTTTCGCAAAAGAGATTGATGATGATGATGATGATGATGACACAGATGACATCAGAGAAAAGAGATTAGTTGCTGCAGCTGTTTCTCTTGCAACACAGAAGTTAAATGTGAGAAATCGAAGAGCCGTGCCTGGGAACAGTGGTGAGTGAAATAGAAAGTACAATCTGCAGTTTGTTTCTGTGAAGTATTTAACTCTTCTAGTGTCAAGCAATTTCTCTAGATCTAGCAGTAATCAACCTCCAGTCCATAAGGACCATGGAGTTGTGTCCCTGGTTTGGGGAACAGTGTCTGCTATTACTGTAAAGTCCAGTGCGGGAATGGCAGTCCACGACCGGCTTCAGCTAATGGTCGTGCTGCTGACGTCACTGGATTGGGCTGACGATGTCTGTAACAATGTTGATATTTTTCAGGTCGCGTGTGTATATGTCCTTATAGTCTAGCTTTTGCCTTCCTGCGGTTCTTATCCCTGTTGTTAGTTCACCATTCATTAGATCAGCGGCTCTCAACCTATAGGTCGAACGACCCTTTCACAGGTCGCAGAAGCCATCGGAAAACCCATACTCATTGAAGTTATGAAGTAGCAACGAAAATAATTGTATGCTTGGGGGGTCACCACAATGTAAGGTACTGTATAAAATGGTCGCCCCATTAGGAAGGCTAAGAGCCACTTCTTTGGGTCCTGAAGAATGCGATTCTAAGTCTATCATTGAAACTAAAAGCAGTGCTATCTTAACGCACTTGCCATAGAAACTGATGTGGCCAGACAAGAGCACTATGCAGAAAGCCAAAGAAGAATAAGAACAAAACACAGAAGTGGTGTCGTCAGCCGCTACACGCTGTGGGATTTACTGAGGAGGGGAATGATAATCAGCTGTAGGCACTTGTCCTTGTTGTAACTGACTCACAAAGCACGTTGAGAAAGGTGGAGACAGGTAGGCTCCATGCAGAGTGACAAGCATCGCTTTAAAAGTCTCGGATAGTTAGAGTCCTTTAGGTATTTTCTCCGGGTCATGTTGGTGTGTTGGGAAATGACCAGGAAAATAGAATGGCCGGTTCTGCACTACTTGGCTGTGAACTGATGTATGATAAACTAGTTGTTGTTGTGAGAGCCCTATGGTAGCGAGTGAACCGGGCGGAGGCACAAACAAATCATTACGTTTGAGGAGAATGACGCTGCGAGGAGTTATCAGGGGATCTCGCCGACGCTCAGCACTCATAAGAAAGGCGAGACGAATATACAATCAGACAGTTCCTGGTACCATCAGAATTGGAACTCTTCGTTTGCTGCTGAAGATGGGGACAGAGCACGTTTGGAAGTGTCCCGAGTGCTGTGATATCGATTCTCAATTCAACATTTTAAATCTACCGTATTTATAGATATGATTTAAATAGCTTTTAATAATTCTCTTTCTTGTCTGAACTGACAAGGAAAGATTGCATAAAATATTCGTTTACTCATTAAATATAATGCATCAACTTGTATTATTTCCTAATTAGGAACACTGACCTGTGAAATCTTGCTTCGACTGGGAAACGCTGCCAGGCTGGTGGAACCACAGTTGTTGAAGACCATGCCCAACGAAGAACTGAAAAGATGTCTGCCACAAGTGGGCGCTGTTAGTGGCTGGCCACAGGAAGTTCTCACAACTTTGGCTGAGAAACTGAAACAGGTAAGCTACATTTCACTCCTATTTTTGCAAAATCTCCAGATTGTGTGAGAAAGACACGGAAACAACAAATGGCCAGGTTTTGTTCGATACAAGTAGTTAATAATTGCCAGCAACGGTGATATAAAAAAAATTACTCTTGAAGGTTAGATCTTATCATGTGAGATTATTGATATACTATAATCCAACTCTCTTCAAGGTGTTGTTTACTTTTTAACTGTATCAGATAATCTTAAATTCTTTCTGTCCCAACCCAGATAATTGCTTTTTTAAAACCTCCGCTCACTTACAAATGTAGTATTCCTAAGATTGTGAAATTTTAGGTTTAATAGGCACACTGAGGAGATGTTGGCCAAACGGTTGGAAAGATGGGCTCTCAAGTGGGAGACCCGAGTTCGAATCTTTGGTAAGGCTGGGGGTTTTTTCTCTTCGGGGGGAAAATAAAATCCTCACCTGCACAGTCGTGGCGACAGCACTAGCCATACGGCTGTAAATACTTAGGCTCAAAACCTGCCCCTGACTACACCGCAAAAGTGGTAATAAAGGAAGTTACTGGCAGTCGACTGACTGACTGACTTTCTACCTCACCAGGACATCACACAAGCGATAAACACCCGATGACACAAAGTGCCACCATGTGGGTGAGGATCACCATGGAGAGGTCCCAGAAATCGCGTTCAGCCTTTAGGCCATATTTATGGCCGGGCTAACTTGCGGCCCCTGGAAAAAAGAGTAGGGCTTCAATTAACGAGAAATTTCATCCTTAAAAAGACGGGAAGTGATGTCATATAACTGGCAGTTTGGCAGAATGCACACTTTATTATCACAACTTTGTGAAATTTTCAGGGGTTTAACTATCTGAATTTGAGTCAGTTTTATTAACATTAAATATGGCATTACATGCAAGTGTACCCAAAATGTTTAATTAGATTTGGGGTCGGGGGGGGGGGGGGGGGGGGTAGTTTTAAAAACATGTAATGCTAACTCGCATGAGTGATTGTGCTTTTTCCTCACATTTTTCAATCTTCAAAAGCATGAAATAGTTTTGTATTGATGGCCATGGAAAGTCAGCCTGTCAAAACATTCTCTTGCTGTATTTTTATATCTGCCAAAAATCTTTCCAGTAAAATCTTTCAGTCTGTCTCTTTTCACAATGAGGCCACACATAACAAATTTTAGAAACCGGTTTTTTTTTTTTTTTTTCTGTTTGTGATATGTTGTTTTCATGTCCAAGTATCTTTCAAAACATTTTCATTAGATTTCCTTTGTTTAAATGCCACAAAGGGGTACTGCGTGGTCTCGAGGCATGGTTTCCACCTTAATTGCTAGAGGTTCCGGGCTCAATCCCCGGTAAGTGCTGAGATTTTTTTTTTAATTCCTTGGCAGTTGGAAATCGAAAAGAGTAGCCTATCGGTGCTGTCTGGGCAAAATTTGGAGTTACAAATCTACCCAAAGTATTTCAGGATCCTCGCCGGTGCTACAGAGCCTGAGCACTGTGCTGAGCTTCTTCGGACTCAGACTTGAGTTAGAAGAAGAATAGAGCACTTATGGGTTACTACCCGTGTACCATGATGTTGATCCGTTGTTCAAACCTCAAATACCACAAAATGACAAACAGCTGCTAAAAATACCATTACTGAATGGTAAATCGTTGTAACCTCCTTAATTTCCGTTTTGTGCATTAACAATCAAATGTTAAGTAGAAACAATTATCATGTGTTTTCTTATTCATTTTTTTCCCAGATTTATTCTGATGTATCAACCTGGTCTGCGAAAACTGTTGCTGCTGCTGGTTCAATAATTGCCGGGTTGTCTCCAACAGAAATTCAACTGTTAAATGGTTTGAATGGAGTTGATGTCATGTACAACATTGGCAAGCATAGGAAGCTTTCCACTGATCAGGTTAGTATTGGATAATTGATGTGATTTATTTATTTATTACAGTAGTAATACTTACTAATTTCCATTTATAGAACAAGACATTTATAAAGAGAATAATTACACTATGTTGAATAATTTACAATGTTTGCTGTTGATATTCTCTTTCCTCTTTTTTTTTTAGCGTCACCCTCATTTTTTTTTCAAAACGATTTTCCCCTCCGTGACTGCAGTCTGAAGGACTAACACCTCAAGAAAGAGAATCAAACGGGTACAATTCCCTGAAAACCCCCGTTCGGCTGTACTTCGCACTCTGATCTTGGTAACATGGTCTATAGCAGGGCTGCCAATGCTGGGTTTTCCCCCCAGATCTGGGTTTTTCTTAGAGGCCTCAGGGAAATCTGGTTTTTTTTTTTTTAATATCCTTAAATTGAATAATAAAATTGAAATATTTTGGTCACTTGAAACGTCATGGAAGTCTAGAGAGAACAATAATGGAGGGGTATATGCCTGGGAAGAGAGGAAGAGGAAGGCCAAGGAGAAGATGGGTGCAGGATGTGGCAGATGATCTCCAGATGGGTGTATCAGACGCAGGTCATCTTGCTCAGGATAGGAAGGTTTTCCGGAGGGTTGTTATGGCAGCGAGGTTCCGCGAGGGACATGCTACTGAATGAATGAATCCTTAAATAAAAGAGGTAAATGTTTCGTTTCGTAACTATAAATTTTGTACATTTTAACAATCTGGGGTTTGTTTTTTTTTTTTTTTTTTTTGTTCATTGTCTATGTATTGCTTGGGTTTTTGTTTAGCGAAGCTGGGTTTTTCAAAAAAATCTCATTGGCAGCCCTGGTCGATAGTTATACGTCATTTCAGTGATAAAGGTTAAAGTCCAGAGGATCGACTTTCATAGCACCAGATTTTATCTCAAATGGCTCGGTCTTTCTCCGCAGAACGGCTAGCAGCTTGCTGAGAGAGCCTCACAGAGCACGAACCCTGTAACTCTGGCGATGATGCCCAGTGATCTCCGTAAAAATTGCACTCTTTTACTAAAGGGCGCAGCCGTTAAAGTTAAACGAACCCACGACCTTTGGGTGTGAGTTTACAATAATAATCTGGTTCTATATTTATTTTGTTCGATTGATCTTGACACATGCTGTACACTTGTAGTTTATGTGATTTTAAAGTTAAGAGATCTGAGTATGGCCACACATGGTGTCTATATCTTATACACTGAAACTGAAAATACGATCTTCGTATGTTATTTCACGAATAAGTCTGTCAATGTACGTCTTTGAAGAGTTTTTTGCAACAACTTTCATTTTGTCACTTGTGATTAGGTTCTTGTAAAGTTGATTATTTCCACTTTCTGTTTTAGTTCACTGACTTTGTATTTTGGAGCTTTGCTACAGTTTAAACTGTGTGATTTCCTGTGTTTCTTGGAAGAAAATTGTTAAAAGTAAAACTTTTTCAATATATTTCAGTTGAAAGCTGGGTTCAAACGTTGGATGCAACTTAACAAAAAGAATGATATTCCAGACATCACTGCCGGTGAACTCTCTTCTTTGTCTGAGTTTGTCTGTGGCCTGGAAGCATCAGATATAAGCAAACTGAGAGATGTTACATTCAAGTATGTTTTACTTTGTAGCTTTTGAAAATGTATGCACTCTTTGTTTAAAAACTGTTGATGCTAATCAGTTTACCTCTATCACCCTGAGAAGGCAGACCGTAGTCACTTCTGGTTGTCACATGGCCCTCATTAAGGCCGAAATATCCAATCTATGCATTTCACATCATCGTCATCCCCCGTGTGGGACACAATTTTTTGTTATTTTGGGGGCTGCAATGTAGCCTGATAGTTCAACGCGGTTTCCCGGACCTCTCCCTGGGTGATCCTCATCCGCATGGTGGCACTTTGTGTCCCCGGGTGTTTATCACTTTGTATATCTGTATATGTTTTATGACCAGTCGGCGCTCAGGGGGTGTAATACAGTCTGCATCCTGCCAGCCGCCTTTACTTTCGAAAACAATGTCTGGTATCTATTTGAGAGTAGGTCGACCTGACAACCAAAGTCAAATTTTTGTTTTCTTTAAATCCACGCAGTGCTTTTTCACTCCCAAGACACTCGAACTAGCAGGCGAATATTTAAGCCGAACGCTACAGCGACTTTTTCTGTTAAAAGTTCTGTAAAAAGTCTTATCATATGAGCAATCGTATGTGTCTAGCCTACATACCTGTGGAATCAACTGAAGTGTGGTTAAAAAGCTTAACGTTTTCTCTTCCCCAACTTTGTTAAGAAAATATTTTATAGTTTTTCACTTATCTCTTTGTCGGCCAGAAAACTTTTTGGTCGATAAAGGCTACTGCTGAAATATCTGATTTCCCCTGTGCATTTTTTACCTTTTTTTTCTACCTTCCTTAAGCTTCCTAATCATATTTTATTTGATCAATTTCCTAATACCAGCAAGACTGCAGTTTCCCCTGTCTTTATCACTGTGGTAGATGAAATACGTTTAACAATGTTGTATTCTGTTCACAGACGATCCCTTAATACAATCGGCCAGAGCACATCCTGCACGCATGAACAAAGACAGGCTTACATTAACAAGGCTTTATCTGTATATGGGTCCCAAGTCGGCCAGTGGAATCCAGCAATGGTTGCAGATATGGGATATTTATTAGGTAAGAAACATCGCATCATCATCGGGAAGCAGGTTTTTTGCTAAATATTGCACCCGTCTCGGTCCATATAAAGATTCTTGGTTCCATGCTAATTACAGTTTCATATACTTTCATGACCAATGTGAATTCAATATACTGTCAAGAAGATCAAACCAATTGCTCCAGGTTTGAACCCATATGGCTTGCGGTCTCTCTCCGAAGAAAACAGCTAACCATCTCTGCCAAGAGCCTTTCACAAGATGTGTAGTGTCTGCAACGATCCCCAGGGATTTCTGTAAAAATTACATGTCTAAATGACACAGTCCATGAAAGATCCAGTGACCTTCAGAGTATGAGGCAACTGGCTCAACCTCTTTGCCACGGAGACTTGTGTCCATTTTTGTGCTAGTTGGCCACAGCCTCTTCTTTCACCCTGTCTCTCATTACTGTTCTTTCTAAAAGAAGAATGCACACAGGAATCTGGGACACTATGAATACCTTGATATTGGAAGCCCACGACAAAGCTCTGTCCATAAGTTTCTTCTTGTGTTGACACTGAATGAGAAAATATGGAAGAGGAAGAGCAGAATATGAAGAGCAGAAGAGGAAGAGCAGAATATGAAGAGCAGAAGAGGAAGAGCAGAATATGAAGAGCAGAATATGAAGAGCAGAAGAGGAAGAGCAGAATATGAAGAGCAGAAGAGGAAGAGCAGAATACGAAGAGCAGAAGAGGAAGAGCAGAATATGAAGAGCAGAAGAGGCAGAGCAGAATATGAAGAGCAGAAGAGGAAGAGCAAAAGAAAAAGCTGCTTGTATGTGTTGAAGCATAACACACAAAAAACGTAAATCTAATCCTAACACTAAAATGTCACATGGTTGAAAAATACACATATAACTGCTCATGACATAAGGAGGTTCTCTGAGTGGGCACCATTGGGGGAAGAAGAATACCTCCCTGCACCCCACCTCCACCCCAATGAGTATATCATAAAAGGGGGATTATTTGATTGATTATGAGTGTTTTCTTTGAACTTGCAGTGCATCTGTGTGATATTCAAAGAATCAAAAGTCTGCATATAAATAAGCCTCATCTGTAAACCGGATGTGCATGTAAAACTCAAGTTTTGGAACAATACCAGAGTCCAGAAGTGGACAAGCAACCAGAATTTTTCACCACAGTTTACAGCTGATGAAATTGAAGAAAAAGAAGAAGAAGAAGAAGAAGAAGAGGAAGAAGAAGAAGAAGAAGAAGAAGAAGAAGAAGAAGAAGAAGAAGAAGAAGAAGAAGAAGAAGAAGAAGAAGAAGAAGAAGAAGAAGAAGAAGAAGAAGAAGAAGAAGAAGAAGAAGAAGGAAAAGAAGAAGAAGAAGAAGAAGGAAAGAAAGAAAGAAAGAAAGAAAGAAAGAAAGAAAGAAAGAAAGAAAGAAAGAAAGAAAGAAAGAAAGAAAGAAAGAAAGAAAGAAAGAAAGAAAGAAAGAAAGAAAGAAAGAAAGAAAGAAAGAAAGAAAGAAAGAAAGAAAGAAAGAAAGAAGAAAGAAAGAAAGAAAGAAAGAAAGAAAGAAAGAAAGAAAGAAAGAAAGAAAGAAAGAAAGAAAGAAAGAAAGAAAGAAAGAAAGAAAGAAAGAAAGAAAGAAAGAAAGAAAGAAAGAAAGAAAGAAAGAAAGAAAGAAAGAAAGAAATGAAAGACAGACAGACAGACAGACAGACAGAATAGGAAGACTGAATTATCGTAACATAACCTTTCATCATAACTTTGCAGAAACAATCTTTGGCAGTCATTTTATGCCGTAAGGCTGAAATGGTGGTATAAAGTGTCACAATACAACTACAATAAAGAAAATAGAATTGACATGCTAGTAGAATTTGTGAGAAGAGTAATTAAATAAAGATACAGAAGTGTGAATTTTGATAAAAATCAATAAGATTACATATTAAATCACTGTCTTCCACAGGTGCATTGAGTGGTGATCATATAAAGATGCTCAGTTCCAAACAGCTGGCACTCATTTCTCCCAAAATTATCCAAACAATTCCAAAGGATGGAGTAGCTGTAAGTAAATAATTATATTCAACTAGTTATACCCGTTAGTAACATTTGAATATATTAGTATCTTGTAAATGTTATTATCAAATGCACTAATTATCACAATACTCAACATCTTCTTCTTATTGTTACAACAGGATAACAACCTACTCCACCAGCCTTTTACGCTGACTCTAAGTTATCCTGGAAGCAGCCGTGGTCTAACGGCTAGACACTCGGCTACGGATTGGAAGGTCGTGGGTTCGGTTCCTGACGAGGACCGGATTTTTTTCCCTTAAAAAATGACCTTAGCTCCCAGGTCGACCCAGCCTTGAGTGGGTACCAGGTACCGTCCTGGGAAGCTAAGGCAGCGGTTATGATGCTGACAACATCACCCACCAAGTGCCGTTTTGTCTACAAAATATAGGTCTAGCCCGATATATCAGATAAGCCTTAAAGGCGTTGAAAAGGGTCCTTTACTCTACTATATGTTATCCTAAGAGTAATGAAAACAGGGGAGGCTGCAGTCAAAATAAACACCAAGAAATTAGTCCACTAAACTGTGACTAAGCTGCTTAATTGGTGGGGGGGGGGGGGGCCACACGCACAAGAAAACATCGGACATTCGGCCAGAGCCTTTCTCGACAAAAGCTACAGCGTTGAGAGGGAAGCATTATTATTTTATTCGTTCCACATCGCCTTTGGCATGCTTTTTTGTCAAGTTGAAATGTCTTATTTTTCCTGAGCATACGTTGTTCATATCCCCCTCCTGTTAAGTTTCCACAGTTCAGTGGATTCATTTCTTCATATGTTATGCTGTCTTTTACAAAAGTTCCTTATCTCTATGCTTTACTATCACTGTTTTGTGTGTGCAGATGTTTGTTGTTTATGAGCAAATTCAGGCAAATCTGGAAAAAACATCCAAGGTAAATTATTAATGATGCTTCTCTGACAGGCCATGACTACAGCCCAGCTGTTAGCCTTCAGCACAAACCAGGCTAATGCTGTCACACACGCACAGTACGAAGCCCTGACATCTGAACAGAAGAAAGTTGTCGGTTCCAAAGCTACTCTTGACTTTACCAAAAAAGAAAAAGCCGGTGGCAAACCAAACAGTGGAAATAGTGAGTATCCATGTTTTTATGCATTGTGTGCATGAGTGTAACTCTGTCAACACCACGAGTTTTCATATGAGATGCCCAAAGGGTAGAATAACTGGGTGGGGTTTTTTTTTTCTTTCTGGTGATAATGTTAGACAGTACTGACTATTCTTTTAGGCATTTTTTGTTTTTAATTTTAAGACACCATTTTGTGAGTGGGACAATAATAAACATTTTGTGGTGAATAGTGGCCTATTTTTTCCTAGAAATAAAAAAAGCCCTACAAATAACCGCTAGAAAAAACATCATTCAAACTTTGTTTTAAACAATTTCAATAATAAGGGATGCATCTTGCATCAATTGTAACTAACTTATATCTTCTCTGGTATCAAAACATTCAAAGAGAATAAATGTATACCAGAAATGGCTACTGTTAAACCAGCTTTCGGGGATTTAGGATTCAGAGAGAAGAACTCTTATAAATCATGGTTAAAGAGTAACATTTACTGGATCTGCTTCTTGCAACTATAGTGATGTGGTTTAGGTTCAACAAATGTCCTTGTGACAAATTGTTTCAGTTATTTTCTTGTGTTTTGTTTAAAACTATAATTCTGTCACCATCCGATCATCACTGAGCCAGAGTTTGGTTTCTGCCTCGGATGGTTTAGAAAAAAAAAAAACCTGTTCTCATGGCTTTCAGACAGTGGTACCAGAGTTACACCTGGAAAAGACTCGGACCTTCTCACGTAGTATTCCCAAAGATGGCAGCGGATGCATTGAAGACAACCTCCATTGTGAAAATAGCAGTTGTGGAGAAACAAAAATGTTACCAGTCCAGTCAACTCTTTTGGTACCAAGGCTTATGGTAGACATTTCTGTACTTTTCCGATTCCAGTCTCCTGTTATGTTAACCCCCTTTTCTCCAGTTTACTATCATACATTCTCTTCAAAGCTGCATTGTTGTTTGTTTGTTTATTCATCTCTATGAGACGAATCAGTAATTGCTGAAGAATACAACGTTAGCATAGAAACTGCTCAATTCAGCACTGTCTGGGACAGGAAGAGTTAATCAAAGTCCCAACTCAAACAGACTAAACTCTTAGCAAAGCCGGTAGCATAGACATGGGATTCAATGCATAAGGCAGCTATCAGAATGCCAGCATCTACAATCCATCACTAGAATTGCAGTTTATTGTTGACTGCAGCTGCAGTTACAACAAACTGGCAGTTGCACATGCAATATCGTATGAGGCATCACCAGTTCTGTTGCAATAGTCCACTCAGTATTTCTGAATGTGCAGTTCGCAACACAAACTACGGTGAGCATAGTTGAAGATCTACAGCTTACAGTGTCACATCATGCACTCAGCTGAGTAGCCGAACAGTAGATAAATGAGTTCACAGTTTTCAGGTTTTACTTTCTCTATTTCTATTTCAAAAGAACAATATATGGACAAGCATATTTCCAAAAATGAAAAAAAAAATGTCGTGAATAATTCACTTTTGAGGTTCTCATTCAGTGGAGATACGTTTGTTATTTTTGAATAAAGTTTAATATATGCCAACTGAAGGTAGGCTAGACTGTATGCCTACTAGTCCAAATGGTACAGCCCCTTTGATGAAGGAAAGAAAAGTCTCTACATTATATGCAAGCAGAAGAGTTTCATAGCATGCTCATTGCTTGTGTTAAACCAGCAGTAGTATCGTTTCGAGAGAGGAGTTTGAACCCATGGTTCCTTTTTTTTAAAGATTTTTAATGTTATCTAGAATCTATTCCACTGGGGGGAAAGGGGTGGGGGAGGTTAAATTATAAATGTGAATGTGCGCTTTTACTATAAAGTTTGCTCAGTCGAACTGTGTATCATAAATAGGCATATGATACTTATCTGATCAGGGAGCCCTGTTTAGTGTTTCTGAAATAATAGTCATAGATTGCAAATAAAAATAATACTAATTACTGATATAGGGTATTGTGTTAGACAGACTTTACATAAACTCAGTGCCATTTGCAATTAATTATTTACTCTCAATGTTTCACTTTTCCTGGCACTATGGGAACAAGAATACGTATGTTTAGTACACGCCTAACTGCCATTTCTGCCTGTACTTACCACTTTTGCAGTGAAGGCTGGGGGTGGTGCTGCTGCTGCCACGGACTAGGCAAGTTACCATTTTATTTTTGGCACTGAGAGAAAAAAAATATATTTGTTTTTTTTTTTCTCACTGAAGCATAAATAAACTTTACCATGAATGTTTCATTTCAACCATATCTGTAACAATGTAAACAATTGTTTTTTTTTTTTTTTCTTTTCTCCAGAACTCAAGGATTTCCAGTGGGGATTTATGAGCCTTATTACAGTTCTGCTAGCCTCCATATTGATGTAACAGAGCATATGATCACAGCTTTAGCTCTTAATTCTTCTTATTGTTTTAGGCCCTTTTCACTGCTATAATTTTAGTGTGCCATCATTTTCATTTCACTTCAAACTTTGGTTTGATCTGCAGAAAATTACGGTCAAGTACTGTCAATATTTTATAAATTAAATAAAAAACTTATTTTCCACAAGCAAACAAAAATAAAGAGAGAGAGAAAATCTAAAGCAAATGATATTTTACAGTTTTACAAAGACAGTGTTTTGTTATTGAAATCTGTCTTACTTGGTACTTGATTAACACAAAAACTAAACACATATTTAGAAAGACTGCTGAAATGTAGTCTTTTGAAGTTGATGATAAGTAAACAATAAATATTCTTTATTTTAAGCAGAAAACAAGAAATTAGAATTGGGGCTATACATGCACATTAAAAACAATTACTGCTATATGCAACAATCCAATTTTGTAAATAATGTGATTTTGATACATCAATATAATTTTATTATTTCAAACAAAACCAGTCCTTTGAAACTTTTTGATGACAACTGTTTAAGTTGAGAAAGCTACTGCACTTGAGGATTCGGCATGTGCAGTGAAAACGATCGTGATTGTACATTTAACTTTTGAATCCTATACAATTGTTTCTAACTTATCTGCAGTCTCAAAGTCTGTTTGCATTAGAGCACAAATATTTGAGTCTGTGTGCCTTAAAATACAAATATTTGAGTCTGTGTGCATTAGAGTACAAATATTTGAGTCTGTATGCATTAAAAAAAAACGAGTACAGGACAGAACTAGTTAAAGTAACAACTGGGACATAATGGGTTAATGTAATAGAAGATTTGGACACAAACAGATAAGGGGAAATAAAATACACCTATAGGATCATAAATAAAAGTGTAATGAGCTGTCTGGTACTGATAGAGTTAAATCTGTGAGATTATAATTTTTTTTTAACCAGGATGGATGAGGTGGTGTTAGTAATGATCAACTATTGTCACCATGGTTGTAGACAAATACAGTTGGTAGCAGCATCTAGGTTGCAACAACAACATTTTGACACTAAATACAGGAACTCTTGGTGAAACGAAGACATTTTCTTCAGTCGTTTTTTTTTCTTTGTAAAATCATTCCAAGATAAAAATAAAACTTATAAGAACTATGCTAGCTGTGTTTGTATTACAGTATTATATGTTCTTAAAGTAGCCTGTTTGTTCTTTTATTACTAATTCCCACCTAGTCTTTATGCATTTGTAACATATGATTGTGTACAACTTCAAAACGTTCTTACTCTAAGTCAACATTCTGAACAATATTATATAGTCAGAATTTATTTTCTTCTTCTTTTTTCACTTTCACCCGCTGTAAACCCTATGGAAAGTTCTGCCCCCCCCCCCACCCCCCCCCCCTACCTATGGACTTTATGGACTTTAGTTGTTTTCCAAAATCGGAGTGTTGCATGCATGTCTGTTTTACAGATCTGACTTATTCGTAAGCAGACTATTGGTTCCTTGCCTCTCAGGCGGATGCATCCCCACTTTAAGAAAATCCCCAGTTAGTCCAATCATATGACATGCTTTCTGGGGAGGCAGTTAGTCTATTCTTTTTTTCCCGCACAATAAGGCCGAGGATCTCACACTCGGAAAAGTATATCATAATCGTCTCACTCCAAATATGTCCTCAGATGTTCATTTTGCATCTGCAATAAAACAGTGTACCAGGTGCCGTTCAGTTAGTACTAAACACAACACAAGCTATCACTAGAAAACTCAATGGAGGAAATCGGGGTGGGTGGGGGGGGGGGGTGCAGAAATACAACATAACATTCGGATCAAAGTCTTTAAAGCAAATGTCCTTACTTTTCAGTTGTACTTTTCATTTGCTTGTTTTCCTCTACAAATGTTCTTCTACAAATGTTTTTAATTTCCTTTTACTATGTTAACTTTTGTTTCCCCACTTCTGTTCAACTTGGTCCCGGAGAAAATCATAAGGAAATTTCAAACAAGAGGTTACTATAGGAGAAACTACAAGATTACTTGGTTATGCATTTGACATTGAAATTGTTGGAGAAAATAAACTAGAGATTGTAAAACTACTGACTCTCTTAAAAGAAGCAGCTCACAAAATGAGACTAACTATCAATCAAGATAAGACAGGATGCATGATAATATCAAGACAGGAAAAGAATATAAACTCTGGCCACACACAAGTCGAAAATATGAAAATCAAACAAACGGAAACATATAAGTACTTGGGTGATTAGTGATTAGAAAGGATTATCATCACAGCACTCCGGGCAGATCCGTTGGTGCTCCGATCTCCTTCTCAAAATCTCCACAAGTGTAAAACGACTGATGACGCCTGTTCTGTGTTGGTTAATGAAACGTCTTGCCCCCTTAGTGAACTATGCATTTCTTACAGCTCCAGGCTGTACCCCAATGTCCATCAGTCTAGACAGGGATGTGGAGTCATGTCCTTTGGCTTGCTCCTCGGTACGGTAAGTGCAGCCCATGGTGTTGATAACAACACTTCTGTCCAGTACTGGAACAGCCATTGCAACCGCAGTGTCAGCAAGATAGTCTGCCCGCTCGTTCCCTTGAACACCCGCATGACCTGGCACAAAGATGAAGTTTAGGGCAGCTATTCGTGAAGCGCTTAGTGTTGAAATCTATTCTTGCCTGATAAACCCAGCTTGGATTTTTTAAAACCTATTCATTGCTTTACTGCGAATTAACCTTTGAGTACCAAGCCATGCTAAAGTCCTTGTTACAGCCATAGTTTCCATTGTAAGGCTACTAGTTGTAACAGCAAAGGCGCCATTCATCTCCTTGATGGTTTTCTCCTTGAGCTTACCGCGAATGCCCATGCACTTCGCTTGCCCCGAATTACTGACCCATCTGTGTAAATCATAGCATCACTTTCATCCGTGTTTTCGTCAATCAGTGTTCTGACTAAAGTGTCAACAAGGCCAAAAATTTGCTTTCTACAGCTTCCATCAAGTGTGATATGGACTGTAATATTAATGTTTGGAGAAGGGGGCATAATTATCCATTCAATTCCAAAATTAATGTCAGTTAGGCGGCATTGGTAGCAATTTTCCTAAAAGTGAGAGACTTCACTTCAGTTCAATTTATTTGCAACTGTGGTTCTGCTATAGGTTATCTAGTGAAAATATGGGGGTGACTGCAGTCAAGATAATACCAAGGAATTCCAGTGGAATTTGACTAAAAAGTATAACGAAACGGGAAAGCAGAAAAACGTGCACAAAACAACACAAAACACCGTTTCGGCCGGTGGTCTTTCTCGAACAAGTATTATAGTTTATAGGCTATGTACAATCTCCTTGACAGCGATTCATCTGTCTCCTTTTCTTTCTATGTAGAACTCTTAAGTGCTCTTATATGCAGTCGCAGGTGCCTAATCTCCTTCAACATATTCATACTTGTCCGCTGCTTGACTACGCAGTTTTCAGTCCTTTTTGGACCCTTTGGTGATGGTGACCTGGCAAGTACTGAAATAGAAGGTGATCCATAATGATTTTACTTCACCGCTGGTGTTTAAGAAGTGGGTGTTGTACGGATGTATCTTCATGTTTTATGTGTGGTGCAGATGTATAATCAAGTGTTGTGGAGGCTGCAGCTGATGAATCCACAAACTTAAATGAAATGTAAAATGGCTCAAAGCTTGTCTTCAGAAAATCTGTCTAATAGAAGCTGAAATTAACCTTTTTGTTAGCAAATTCTCCTTAAAGTGTAGAGAAAACTCTCCACTCCATTGTCCATTATTTGCAACTGTGGCTGTGCTAAAGGTTGTGTACAATCTCCTTGATCTTCCTGAATATATCTGGAATGGGTAGCTTTTCAATATTGATCAACTGCGTTATGTGGCCATTTTCTAAATAGGGTACTTCAGAGGTCGCGGGTAGTTAGTATCCTTTGGATATTTTCTCCAGGCTATGCCGATGTGTTAGGAAATGAACAGGCAGATAGACTGGCTGGCTCTGCACAAATTGGTGGTGAATTGATGTATGACAAGTTAGATATTGTCAGGGCCCTTTGGGAACGGATGAACAGTGCGGAGGCGCAGACAGATCATTACGGTCTGAGGAGAATGGCGCTGCGAGGAGTTACCGGGGGTCTGACAGACGCACAACGCTCGGGAGAAGGATGAGACGGATATACAATCACACGGTTACTGGTACCATCGGAATTAGAACTCTTCGCTGAAGATGGGGACTAAGCACTTATGGGAGTGTCCCGAGTGCTGTGATGTTGATTCTTAATTCAACATTCAATATACACCCCTTACGCCTCTCAACACAGAGCCTTATATATATATATATATATATATATATATATATATATATATATATATATATATATATATATAAACTCATGGTTTCTGGATTTCATATTTTATATATATATATATATATATATATATATATATATATATATATATATATATATATATATATATATATATATATATATATATATAAAATCCAGAAATAATGAGTTGTAGACTCTTTGGCTCGGTACTATGGATATTACAACTTATCGGCTTTTGACTTTATGGTATATACCGTATATCTGGAAAAGATGTGGTTTTTCTGCCTACTCCTGAACGTGAACTCGGACCACTCGAACTCTCCGTCGCCGCTCAGCTTGTTTAACAAACTTTGCTAGCTATCTGGGCAGTTAGCCATATATATATATATATATATATATATATATATATATATATATATATATATATATATATATATATATCTGGGCAGTTAGCCATATATATATATATATATATATATATATATATATATATATATATATATATATATATATATATATATATATGGCTAACTGCCCAGCTAGCTAGCTAAGTATATATTTAATCAGATCACCTGCTCAATCTGTCGTTAAACTTCTGTCTCTCGGTCTAGTGTGATTAGAAACATACACAAGTCAAGCTGTGTTTAGAAAGTACTCACAAGGGCGCTGAGAAATGTC